CTTTCGGCTAAATCGCTGTTATTTCGCTTAAACTTTTCTGATCACGAAATAAATCATAATTATAGTATGCTTTTCTAGAGTTAAATTTTGTTTTACCCTGATCTGTTTAAAATTCCCCTTTTTTACATCTCCCCGATTTCACTCCTAATTTGGTTCTCTAGATCTCCTCCACTCGATTTTCTAGATCTGAATTTTTAAAAATTTGATTAGTCGGTTCAATCAAGTGTCTCACGATGCCAAAAAAGATCAAGTTAAATCCGTTTTAGTGGATTTTAATTTGATTATAATTGGAATAAGACTGCTAGTATCAGGGCGAAGCCCGGGATATTCTGACTGCCTTTCAAGGTCTAAAAAAGCTGAAATAAAAAGAAGAAAATAAATAAAGTGTTAATATAAAACGATTTTTTTTATTTGAGACTAATGAGAAAATCATCATCCCACACGCCATATAAAGTACAAAACGATAAATTTCGCTTCCAGTAACAAATCAATTATGAGCAATAAGCTTCCTTCAACCAATTTGGAATGATTTCCAAGACGGGTTAGATCACCGCTCACGCGTTATAAGCTCCGCTTCACAGAGGTATTAAACTCAAGAATTCAAATTTAAGCTTAGGACAACAATAACTTTTGAATGATATAAAAAAATTTGTCAAAAATGGCTAGTTAAAAAGTCGATATTTGTCTGAAGAAAAAAAACCACCCCGAGCACAAATGTTCCGTTATTTTCGTAACGAAAGTGGGACTAGTAAAACTCGATTTGACCGAACTCTACTTATCACACATATAGTCTCTTGGCGGCAAAGGAATTGAATAGATTGAAAACAATCTATTTTGCTGAAGGCCAAAAATATATTTCGCCACTTTTAATAATATTAATATTATTGTTTCTAGTATAGGTTCACATTGATCACTATAATTTATATAAATGACAGCTAGAAAGAACCCAATCTGGGAGATCGTCATTACACTTAGATTCTACCGTTAGTTTAAGTAGGAAAAAACTACATGTATGCAAAAACATCAAGTTTTTTTAGTTGATTTGGGTGTTACAAAGGCCACACTCAGTTTGGTTTTTGAAGATGGATTCAAGATTAAATCTTGTAATCAAGATTGAACTATGTTGAGTAGTTTTGTAGATGGTAACTCACGAAATCAGAAGCGCAGTTTCTGGTATATGTTTCATTCTCATAAATCTCTGACTTCCAAGTGTGAGTATTCATCGAATTGCCAATAGCTTTTTCGTCATTGGCTGTAAATCTAGACTCGAACTCGCATTTACGGATGTCCATGAAATCTAATTTATATTTTTGCATTCAACTGCTCATAGTTGACTGTATGTTTCGCTGTATTTTAGACTAAAAAACTAAACATATGGTTTTTTGGAACGGCAGAACGATATATACACTAGTGAAAAGGGGTAAAAAATGAAAAAATGAAAGAGTTCAATCAATAAAAAAAAGAAAACGGTCGCTGACAAATCATAGCAATCGTCACTGAAACCGGTTGCACATAATGTTCCGAGCAAACAATTTTTATTCGAAAAAATTAAAAACACATAGGTAAAGCGGAGCTTCGAATCATTTGCGATACAACGCAGGCGTACCATTTCAAGCTAGCGAATAAAAAGAACACGGAAAACTTAAGTGATAAAAAAGAAGAAAGTCAGTTTAAATAAATTAGTCAAAAAACGCAAAAACCAGCATTAAACAAGCTTCTAGTGTTTTCAAATAGTCATTTAATAAAATACGCAGAGAGACGCCCATGGGGCCAAAAACAAAAAAGGCTTAAAAAACTGCCGTAAGAACTTGAAGTTTATAAGTTCTAGAAAATTGAGGTTTTTGAACCACATCCAGTTTGAATAACCTTTTAAAAAAATTATCATTTTTTATTTAATTTTCTCATTTCAAACAACAAAAAATCAGTTGAACAATCCAATAAGTTTTGCGCCAAAACAGTTTAAGCTGATTGAAGTTTTTAAGCGAACAAAAACTATAAAAAGCAAACTAAGTCAGGACTGGTAAAATCACAAATTACAAGAATAAATCAACAATTCTTATAACAACATCTCTCGATAAGGCAACTAAAATTACAAAAAAAATAAGCGTGAGAAACGTAGTAAGTTCGGTCATTCAATTCTTTGAAAAAAGCATAGGTTTCTTAGAAAATCAAGGTCCAGCAGGGACTCGAACCCATGACCACAAGAGTCAAATTTCTCTAGACCAAGTGTGAAAAACCAAAAGGGAAGGAGCCGAAAAAAATTTCAAAGATCAACAAAAAAGTTTTTACCAACTTTTTGTATGTAGTACTCTATGTGGAACTTTTCTTCAATTATTCTCAGTTCGAATTATTTTAAAAATCGTTTTTAGTACTTCTTAGTTTATAAAATCTGTGAAGGTTGAAATTGAAGTCGGCAGAATTGCCTAAAGTTTTTTTGACCTTGGTGGTAAATATACACTGAAACCCGCAATTATGGATATTTACTTTTTTTATTTAATGAGATTTGTATTGAACTGCTCATAGCTAATCAAACATTGAACTGTAAAATAAAGACAACAAAATTTTAAAATGAAATTTTTTTTTAATGAGGAGATGATATCTAAGAGAAGGAGTAAAACCTAATAATATACAGTTCAAAAAATTCAATAGTGAAAGTAACTGAACACTAACAAACTACTACAATGAAATGCCCTAAAATAAAGAGCAACGGGACATAGAAGTTGAAATATATAGTTTTCAATCTATGAAAGCAGGAAACTATTTTCACAATTGCGCTGTTTTTTCAACAACTACTAGCACTTCATGATTGAAACTTTGCAAAACAAAGATGGAACTGTTTTTCAGACTATAGTCGGATAAAAAACCGTAAAAAGATGTTTTAAGGCGTAATTTGGTTAATTAAATAGAAGGTGTCAGAGAGGTGGTCTAAGAGAAATAAAGACTGGTAAAATCACAAATTACAAGAATAAATCAACAATTCTTATAACAACATCTCTCGATAAGGCAACTAAAATTACAAAAAAAAATAAGCGTGAGAAACGTAGTAAGTTCGGTCATTCAATTCTTTGAAAAAAGCATAGGTTTCTTAGAAAATCAAGGTCCAGCAGGGACTCGAACCCATGACCACAAGAGTCAAATTTCTCTAGACCAAGTGTGAAAAACCAAAAGGGAAGGAGCCGAAAAAATTTTCAAAGATCAACAAAAAAGTTTTTACCAACTTTTTGTATGTAGTACTCTATGTGGAACTTTTCTTCAATTATTCTCAGTTCGAATTATTTTAAAAATCGTTTTTAGTACTTCTTAGTTTATAAAATCTGTGAAGTTTGAAATTGAAGTCGGTAGAATTGCCTAAAGTTTTTTTGACCTTGGTGGTAAATATACACTGAAACCCGCAATTATGGATATTTACTTTTTTTATTTAATGAGATTTGTATTGAACTGCTCATAGCTAATCAAACATTGAACTGTAAAATAAAGACAACAAAATTTTAAAATGAAATTTTTTTTTTAATGAGGAGATGATATCTAAGAGAAGGAGTAAAAGTGTGGTAAAAAAAGTCAACGTAAACAGCAAAAGCACTTTGAAACTTTCGAATTTAAAGGGTTCGTTGGAAAACTAAGAATCTATGCTATGCCCTCGTAAAATTTTTCTTATAAAAAAATACAAAAACAGCTCAGCTACAGAATAACATTTCACTCAGACTTTGGCTTTTTTAAAAACAAACTGCTGAATTTTGTAGTCTGCTTTTTTTCTGAGAGTTTAACAAAATTTCAATTTCTTTTTATGAGAAAAAAATATATCAAGGCTTTTGTAAGATCTTTAGCTTTCCAATCAACACTTTGAAGCTGAAAGTTTCAAACTGCTTCTGCTGTTAAAGTGGACTTTTTGGTACTAAAAACACCTCTCGGACGCTTTCAGGTTAAATTACCAAAGAACGCCTTGAAAACATATTTTTCCCAGTATAGTCTGAAACAGAGTTTCATCTTTGTTATATCGAAATTTCAACCATGAATCATAGGTAGTTGTTGAGAAAACGGCACGAACGTGAAAAAAATTTCGTTCATTTCATTGCTTGAAAACTAAAAAATACAGCTTCTATGTTCCGTGACTGTAGTAAGGATAGCCGGTTGCTGTGCAAGTAGAGCAGAAATCATCGATCTCGCTGATTCAAGAAAACAAGTCCGAAAAAGTTAAAAACTCGAAACAAAAATGGCCAATAATTTTTTTCTATGGTACTTGTTTTTTTTAGAAAAGACGATTAAATTAGTGTATACAGTATAAAGTATGAGTGATATCAATAGCTAAAATAAGGTCAAAATTAATATGGAATCAAAATGAGAGGTCGTTTTTTATCGTCTATCATTCGTAAATTTCGTCATCTCTAGTCTGAAAAACGGAAAAACTCAAACAAGTTTAAAATAATCTTTGAAATCCGAGCCACAGCCAAAAGTGCTTCAAGCAAACTTGTCACCCTAAGACCTTTTTGAGGCAGTCAAAATTAAGATAAAAACATACCTACGCCATAGTACCATGTCTTTACTTCATGAATTGGTCGGAACAATTATTTAATAAACTATTGCAGGATGTCAGCTCAAGAAATTTGAAATTGGCCAGCAACTGTGTATTTGGAGAACCAAAGCGCGTTCAATATCAAACTCGTATTTGTTTTCTCACTTTCTTAATCTGAGCCCAAGACACTTTCTTTGAACTAAGTGAAAAAAATTCAAATTTGGCGCTTTCTACGTGAACCAGAGTTTTTAAAAACACTAGGATTTCAGAAGAACAGTGACTGCTCTATTCTACAAAAGAATATTTGAAATAGTTTTTGACTTCGCATATCTAGAACATGTTAGCGAAATCGCTTTACCTGTCTAGTGCTAAAGGCACAAAAATCCAGCAATTACAAAACTATAAATGAAAGTGTACTACAAACTCTTAAAGAAACTGAATTGAATAAAAAACATTGCACTGGGTCTTTAGCAATGAATCAAAACTGAAATTAATGGTATAATTTTTGTATTTTTTGAAACTAAAAACGAGTGTTAGCAAAATTATAAAATGAAATTATTCAAATTGTTACAGCCTTTCTTCATTCTCTAAAGGCTCGTGGGGTAATATATTCGCCCTAATAAGCCATTTTGGAACAAAAATAGAACATGCCATGATGTTGTAATGATTGCAATAATGCTGTAAATCAGGCTGGTGAAATAAAATCCTAAACTTTCGTTCAGAAATCCTCCAAAAACGGTGGCTCCCAAAATGCGCCCCGAAGACATCATGATGATAAAACTAAACGATGCATCCGTTCGCACCTGGTCGATGCTTGTAGCTCCACGTTTAAGAGCTATCTTTTGAATAATCAGGTGGAAAGGGTTTATAATTCCAGCAAGTGACATTCCACTCACTGCTAGTGAAATCATCGCCCAACCCGTAGTTTCCAGTTCAGGTACAAAATATGGCAAGAACATAGCGAATGTCGTAATCGGTATCAAGACTTCCGAGAATATGTTAAGGAAAATTCCATATCCTTGGTCCACTATAATTCCGCCAACAGCACCTGTAAAAGGAAAGAACAAAGCGAGTACAAACCTCGTCAAAACTATAAAACCCAGGGGCTGATTTAGGGGGGAGGGGCGGGATGGGGCGGACGCTTTTTTTGATCCTCTCACCTAGCAAAGGGTCTCACTTTGGTATTATTTTATGACACCCATTTTAAGCCGACCGGCCCTAAAATTTTTTAAAGGCGCCTTTGGCGCCAATATATACTAATTTTGAAAGGGAGCGCGAAAACATGGGGGTCTTTATAATGTTCTGGGAGTGCTCGAAAAATCAATTTTGTCGGCCTAAAAAATCCACCTCCCCCTTCGAGATAATCCTAGATATATCATACTCAATGCACTCTGAAAAAGAAGGTTTTTTGTAGCCTATGGGTAACCCACTGTAATCCGTTTTTGCGCTTCTGTAATCCAATTACTTAATTGAAAAAATGCGTGTCTGTACAAAACAGTCCCATACAAAACAGTCCAATACAAAACAGTCCGAAAAAACATAGCAAAGTACAAAAAAACAGTCCCATACAAAACAGTCCCAAAAATAGTCCAAAAAATAGTCCAAAAAACAGTCCCATTGATCGAAGTGATAATTGTTCTAGAAGCTGATAAGTAAATTTATCTCGTATTAAACACATTTTGATTCCAAATAATCCGGATAACAATAGGTAGTATAGTAGAGAAATTAGAACAACCTAGATAACAGCAGCGGCCACTCATTAGAAGCAATAATATTCGAAACATTAAAGTTAACGCAATTTAAGAAAATGGACTCTTTTTTTAATCCAAGCAAAAAGAAACAGGTTGTTCAATCTGTTTCATTTGCAAACACTTGACAACACTCAAAAGAAACGAAATTCACTATCTATCGATGGAAATCATACTTACAAACAAAAATTCTGAGTTACTGATTTTTGAAGGGTATGCTTATATTAAACACAGAACATTGGCAGACAACTCCCTTTCCTGGCGCTGCGCACAAAGTAGTTGCAATGGCCGTGTGCGTACAAAGGAGGACTCCGTTGAGATAGTTAAAGATCACTGCCACTTCCCCGATCCAGCTGACATCGAAAAACGCAAGTTCAGAAAAACACTTAAAGATCGAGCAGCAGTATCCGATGTAACACCGCGGCAGACTATTTTCGCAGCCCAACGTGATGTGAACAGAGAAACAGCTGTTCATCTACCTAGTTATTCTGCTAATCAGCAAGCTGTAAATAGAGTTCGACGCGAAAAAAGACCAAAGATGGCAGAGCCAACATCGCTGACTGGCTTTGAACTACCACTGGCTCTACAGAAAACCCACGATGGAGAGCAGTTCCTTCTTCACGATTCTGGTACCCAAGATGAAAATTGGGTTATTGTGTTCGCCACGTTACCTGGATTAGACTTACTATCTTTATCGGATGATTGGTTCTGTGATGGAACGTTTTCGACTGCTCCCAATGTTTTCTATCAGATTTATACTATACACGCTTCTGTTGAAGGATGCCTTATCCCTATTGTTTACGCTCTGCTACCCGACAAAAAGGAATCAACTTATTGTCGCCTTCTCAGTATTCTAAAAGTTGATTCCCCAAAACGCGTCACAATTGATTTTGAAGTAGCTGTGCGAAACTCAATAATAGCTACCCATCAGAGTGCACAAATTCAGTTTTGTTTTTTCCATATGAGTCAAAGTGTCTGGCGACATGTTCAGTCGTCAGGCAATACTCACAATTACAACAGTGACCTTATTTTTTGCGAACTTATTCGAATGCTTCTCGCAACAGCATTCCTGCCCGTTGAGGACGTCCCACAGCTTTCGAGCTTCTGCAAGGTATGGCATCTGAAGAAAGTCAACCAATTTTTAATTATTTCGAGGAGACATATATTGGTAGACTGACTTCTCAAGGACGACAGAAGCCCAGATTTGATATGGAGCAAGGGAGTTGCCATCATAGAGTAAAAAACGACCTTCCCCGCACCAACAACGCTGTAGAAGGTTGGAACAGCAATTTCGTGAAACTGGTCAATAGTAAGCATCCATCATTCCCAAAATTGATCGAGAAGTTCCAGGACGAGCAAAAAAATGCGGAAATACTGTTGGAAAAAATGTGCGCAGGACAAAAATTAGCCAGACCAAAAAAAGTTAAATACCAAAAACTCGACAAAAACTTGATCACTATGATTAAGTCATATCAACCCAACGATATCATTGGGTTTTTGAAAGGATGTAGTTATAATATTAAATTATAATCAGAGTTTTCTTTTCTTTTTAATTTTCACATTTATTCCACATTGCCAAGCAATAAAATTTTTCCAAGTTAATTAGTTTTCTTGATTTTTCAAAATTGAGCTAGAGTCGATTTGAACCCGGCAAAATAATGAATACATACAAGGTGTTGATTTTTCTTTTCCCTCCGCCCAACCCTCTAAGGATGAACCCATTGTTGTACCCTAGCTATACCCGTTATCCTATTTACCCGTTTTTCAACTTTTTTCGGAAAATTGAAAATATTTTGTCCCGCCGGAGAATCGAGCCTTTGATCTCTAGAGTTTGAGACTAACGCTTTAACCACTATACCATGAGTTCTTTGAATTTCATCCAAAATTTTGTTCCAACTTTGGCTGTTTGATCTTTTATTGCCCCTGTTTGAGTTTTCAAAGCGTAGATTAGTTCTGTCGGTGCCAAAAGATCAAGGTCAAGAAATTCAATTGGTTTTGGACTGTTTTGTATGGGACTGTTTTTTAGAACCTTTTTTTGATGTTTCGGACTGTTTTGTATGGGACGGTTTTGTATGGGACTGTTTTGTATATGCACCAAAAAATGAAGTGTGTCAAAACGAAGCGTTTCAAACATGAAAAATTGAAATATTTCAAAAAATTAAAGGTTTCAAACATGAACAAACAGAGCGGGTTGATATGATGTAGGACCTAGTACAGCATGTTCTGATCACAGTGATTTGAGAAGAGAAGAAAATGAAAGAAAAATAAACAAACTCGAAAAAAATATCTATATACTTTTTGTGAGCTCTTGTAATTTTTTAAACAGAGGGCGGCTAAATTGGGCAACAATTTTCAGAATTAAATTGATTATAGCTAAAATAACGTAAAATGTTCAGTCGATTTAAATTGTGTCTCATCGGAAATGAATTCAGTCTTATCACATTGCGGGAAATTTGTTCCAAAAATCGGAAAAATTCAGTTCAGTTCTTGTCGAAACAGAAGTTCTTTTTTGAACATTTTGAAGCTTTGCCTAGGAGATAAACTTAAAACCGAATCGAAACTTCTGCCAGAAACTATGCTTTTTTATTGAAGAAAATCCTAGATCCGAACTGATTACGCCCATTGGTTATTGATAGAAACTGCATCTTCAAAATTTTTAGGATAAACTCGCACAATTTAATATTTGAGTTGGTTTTCACACGTATCCACTGGAGTGAACTTTTTCGACTAACCTTGTTGCATTGGGAACATGGAGAACAAGGACACATAAAAATATATTCTACTTGTTGCCCAACAAAAAAAAAACATCAAAATGATCTTTCAAAGCTCAAATTTTCTTGGAGATAAAAAAAAGTTCGATCTGATTCTCAATTTGTATCAAGACAGACTTAACTTCAACTCATTTTTAAGATAACGAAAACAAGTAGAGTTTTAAAAAACTGTTTTGGAACGAACTATAACAATTACTTCTATTGCGCCATAGAACGAATAATTGACCTGCTGAATCTATATGATTTTATTTGTCATGATTAAGGTGAAATAGTTGAAACATACAATTATTTCCTGGGAGTAATTCATGGAACCAAAAGATGAGAGGAAGCCGCACTTCATTTTTTATTTCAAATCAATTTAAATCACCAATTGAGGCATAATCTGATAGCATTATTTTGTTGACAAAAAGTTGAATTTTTTGAAGGTTGCCTTGAGCGTCAATAAAGGGGAAACACCACGTGCCATTGTTACTCCGTTTTGATCTTAAGTTTCCAAAACATAAACACGAACTTTCAAAAACCCTCTTCCTTCCTAAAAATGTGAAATGTCGCTTTAATGAAACAATACGCTTAAAATTGCACTTTTATCTCTCTAAGTGTTTAACACTTACATTACTCTTAACCGTTTAATATGAAACTGATCGCCTTCAAAAATGAATATGTTTGCAATACCTGTAAATCCTGTCGCAATCGGTGTTGCTATGAACACAAAACCCATGTGGTCTAATTGAATTCCGATTGCATCGTGAAAATGTAGCGAGAAAGCAGCATCCCGAAAGCCCGATATAAAAAAAAACAACAATCGAGGGTATAATAGCACTCACTGCAGGAAAAGATCCCAGGAACTTCAAGTAGTCGCCGCAATTACTAGATTGTTTTCTGTTTTTGCTGGAGTTCGATGCGGCTGGGAAAATAAAAACGGCAAAAAATGAAAAAATAGCCTCCATTCCACCGGCAAACAAAAAAGCTGCATAGTACCCTCCAAAAACTATCGATTTAAATTGTGTCTCATCGGAAATGAATTCAGTCTTATCACATTGCGGTAAATTTGTTCCAAAAATCGGAAAAATTAAGTTCAGTTCTTGTCGAAACAGAAGTTCTTTTTTGAACATTTTGAAGCTTTGCCTAGGAGATAAACTTAAAACCGAATCGAAACTTCTGCCAGAAACTATGCTTTTTTATTGAAGAAAATCCTAGATCCCAACTGATTACGCCCATTGGTTATTGATAGAAACTGCATCTTAAAAATTTTTAGGATAAACTCGCACAATTTAATATTTGAGTTGGTTTTCACACGTATCCACTGGAGTGAACTTTTTCGACTAACCTTGTTGCATTGGGAACATGGAGAACAAGGACACATAAAAATATATCCTACTTGTTGCCCAACGAAAAAAAAAACATCAAAATGATCTTTCAAAGCTCAAATTTTCTTGGAGATAAATAAAGGTTCGATCTGATTCTCAATTTGTATCAAGACAGACTTAACTTCAACTCATTTTTAAGATAACGAAAACAACTTGAGTTTTAAAAAACTGTTTTGGAACGAACCATTACAATTACTTCTATTGCGCCATAGAACGGATAATTGACCTGCTGAATCTATATGATTTTATTTGACATGATTAAGGTGAAATAGTTGAAAATATTTCCTGGGAGTAATTCATGGAACCAAAAGATACGTGAGAGGAAGCCACGCCTCATTTTTTATTTCAAATCAATTTAAATCACCAATTGAGGCATAACCTGATAGCATTATTTTGTTAACAAAAAGTTGAATTTTTTGAAGGTTGCCTTGAGCGTCAATAAAGGGGAAACACCACGTGCCACTGTTACTCCGTTTTGATCTAAAGTTTCCAAAACATAAACACGAAATTTCAAAAACTCTCTTCCTTCCTAAAAATGTAAAATGTTGCTTGAGTGAAACAATACGCTTAAAATTGTACTTTTATCTTTTTAAGTGTTTAACACTTATATTACTCTTAACCGTTTAATATGAAACTGATGGCCTTCAAAAATGAATATATTTGCAATACCTGTAACTCCTGTCGCAATCGGTGTTGCTATGAACACAAAACCCATGTGGTCTAATTGAATTCCGATTGCATCGTGAAAATGTAGCGAGAAAGCAGCATCCCGAAAGCCCGATATAAAAAAAACTACAATCGAGGGTATAATAGCACTCACTGCAGGAAAAGATCCCAGGAACTTCAAGTAGTCGCCGCAATTACTAGATTGTTTTCTGTTTTTGCTGGAGTTCGATGCGGCTGGGAAAATAAAAACGGCAAAAAATGAAAAAATAGCCTCCATTCCACCGGCAAACAAAAAAGCTGCATGGTACCCTCCAAAAACTATCGATTTAAGTTGTGTCTCATCGGAAATGAATTCAGTCTTATCACATTGCGGTAAATTTGTTCCAAAAATCGGAAAAATTAAGTTCAGTTCTTGTCGAAACAGAAGTTCTTTTTTGAACATTTTGAAGCTTTGCCTAGGAGATAAACTTAAAACCGAATCGAAACTTCTGCCAGAAACTATGCTTTTTTATTGAAGAAAATCCTAGATCCGAACTGATTACGCCCATTGGTTATTGATAGAAACTGCATCTTAAAAATTTTTAGGATAAACTCGCACAATTTAATATTTGAGTTGGTTTTCACACGTATCCACTGGAGTGAACTTTTTCGACTAACCTTGTTGCATTGGGAACATGGAGAACAAGGACACATAAAAATATATCCTACTTGTTGCCTAACGAAAAAAAAACATCAAAATGATCTTTCAAAGCTCAAATTTTCTTGGAGATAAATAAAGGTTCGATCTGATTCTCAATTTGTATCAAGACAGACTTAACTTCAACTCATTTTTAAGATAACGAAAACAACTTGAGTTTTAAAAAACTGTTTTGGAACGAACCATTACAATTATTTCTATTGCGCCATAGAACGGATAATTGACCTGCTGAATCTATATGATTTTATTTGACATGATTAAGGTGAAATAGTTGAAAATATTTCCTGGGAGTAATTCATGGAACCAAAAGATACTTTAGTACTTCTTACTTTATAAAATCTGTGAAGTTTGAAATTGAAGTCGGTAGAATTGCCTAAAGTTTTTTTGACCTTGGTGGTAAATATACACTGAAACCCGCAATTATGGATATTTACTTTTTTTATTTAATGAGATTTGTATTGAACTGCTCATAGCTAATCAAACATTGAACTGTAAAATAAAGACAACAAAATTTTAAAATGAAATTTTTTTTAATGAGGAGATGATATCTAAGAGAAGGAGTAAAACCTAATAATATACAGTTCAAAAAATTCAATAGTGAAAGTAACTGAACACTAACAAACTACTGCAATGAAATGCCCTAAAATAAAGAGCAACGGGACATAGAAGTTGAAATATATAGTTTTCAATCTATGAAAGCAGGAAACTATTTTCACAATTGCGCTGTTTTTTCAACAACTACTAGCACTTCATGATTGAAACTTTGCAAAACAAAGATGGAACTGTTTTTCAGACTATAGTCGGATAAAAAACCGTAAAAAGATGTTTTAAGGCGTAATTTGGTTAATTAAATAGAAGGTGTCAGAGAGGTGGTCTAAGAGCAAAAAAAGTCAACGTAAACAGCAAAAGCACTTTGAAACTTTCGAATTTAAAGGGTTCGTTGGAAAACTAAGAATCTATGCTATGCCCTCGTAAAATTTTTCTCATAAAAATATACAAAAACAGCTCAGCTACAGAATAACATTTCACTCAGACTTTGGCTTTTTTAAAAACAAACTGCTGAATTTTGTAGTCTGCTTTTTTTCTGAGAGTTTAACAAAATTTCAATTTCTTTTTACGAGAAAAAAATATATCAAGGCCTTTGTAAGATCTTTAGCTTTCCAATCAACACTTTGAAGCTGAAAGTTTCAAACTGCTTCTGCTGTTAAAGTGGACTTTTTGGTACTAAAAACACCTCTCGGACGCTTTCAGGTTAAATTACCAAAGAACGCCTTGAAAACATATTTTTCCCAGTATAGTCTGAAACAGAGTTTCATCTTTGTTATATCGAAATTTCAACCATGAATCATAGGTAGTTGTTGAGAAAACGGCACGAACGTGAAAAAAATTTCGTTCATTTCATTGCTTGAAGACTACAAAATACAGCTTATATGTTCCGTGACTGTAGTAAGGATAGCCGGTTGCTGTGCAAGTAGAGCAGAAATCATCGATCTCGCTGATTCAAGAAAACAAGTCCGAAAAAGTTAAAAACTCGAAACAAAAATGGCCAATAATTTTTTTCTATGGTACTTGTTTTTTTTTAGAAAAGACGATTAAATTAGTGTATACAGTATAAAGTATGAGTGATATCAATAGCTAAAATAAGGTCAAAATTAATATGGAATCAAAATGAGAGGTCGTTTTTTATCGTCTATCATTCGTAAATTTCGTCATCTCTAGTCTGAAAAACGGAAAAACTCAAACAAGTTTAAAATAATCTTTGAAATCCGAGCCACAGCCAAAAGTGCTTCAAGCAAACTTGTCACCCTAAGACCTTTTTGAGGCAGTCAAAATTAGGATAAAAACATACCTACGCCATAGTACCATGTCTTTACTTCATGAATTGGTCGGAACAATTATTTAATAAACTATTGCAGGATGTCAGCTCAAGAAAATTGAAATTGGCCAGCAACTGTGTATTTGGAGAACCAAAGTGCGTTCAATATCAAACTCGTATTTGTTTTCTCACTTTCTTAATCTGAGCCCAAGACACTTTCTTTGAACTAAGTGAAAAAAATTCAAATTTGGCGCTTTCTACGTGAACCAGAGTTTTTAAAAACACTAGGATTTCAGAAGAACAGTGACTGCTCTATTCTACAAAAGAATATTTGAAATAGTTTTTGACGTCAAACAAGTACTTATAATTAGTGGTCTGAAACAAAATTGGGCCCTCAAAAAGTTGTACTTAAAGTTGTAATCTATTCGCTTTAAAGACTACAACAATCAAACTTCGCATATCTAGAACATGTTAGCGAAATCGCTTTACCTGTCTAGTGCTAAAGGCACAAAAATCCAGCAATTACAAAACTATAAAAGAAAGTGTACTACAAGCTCTTAAAGAAACTGAAATGAATAAAAAACATTGCACTGGGTCTTTAGCAATGAATCAAAACTGAAATTAATGGTATAATTTTTGTATTTTTTGAAACTAAAAACGAGTGTTAGCAAAATTATAAAATGAAATTATTCAAATTGTTACAGCCTTTCTTCATTCTCTAAAGGCTCGTGGGGTAATATATTCGCCCTAATAAGCCATTTTGGAACAAAAATAGAACATGCCATGATGTTGTAATGATTGCAATAATGCTGTAAATCAGGCTGGTAAAATAAAATCCTAAACTTTCGTTCAGAAATCCTCCAAAAACGGTGGCTCCCAAAATTCGCCCCGAAGACATCATGATGATAAAACTAAACGATGCATCCGTTCGCACCTGGTCGATGCTTGTAGCTCCACGTTTAAGAGCTATCTTTTGAATAATCAGGTGGAAAGGGTTTATAATTCCAGCAAGTGACATTCCACTCACTGCTAGTGAAATCATCGCCCAACCCGTAGTTTCCAGTTCAGGTACAAAATATGGCAAGAACATAGCGAATGTCGTAATCGGTATCAAGACTTCCGAGAATATGTTAAGGAAAATTCCATATCCTTGGTCCACTATAATTCCGCCAACAGCAGCTGTAAAAGGAAAGAACAAAGCGAGTACAAACCTCGTCAAAACTATTAAACCCAGGGGCTGATTTAGGGGGGAGGGGGCGGACGCTTTTTATGATCCTCTCACCTAGCAAAGGGTCTCACTTTGGTATTATTTTATGACACTCATTTTAAGCCGACCGGCCCTAAAATTTTTTAAAGGCGCCTTTGGCGCCAATATATACTAATTTTGAAAGGGAGCGCGAAAACATGGGGGTCTTTATAATGTTCTGGGAGTGCTCGAAAAATCAATTTTGTCGGCCTAAAAAATCCACCTCCCCCTTCGAGATAATCCTAGATATATCATACTCAATGCACTCTGAAAAAGAAGGTTTTTTGTAGCCTATGGGTAACCCACTGTAATCCGTTTTCGCGCTTCTGTAATCCAATTACTTAATTGAAAAAATGCGTGTCTGTACAAAACAGTCCCATAAAAAACAGTCCAATACAAAACAGTCCGAAAAAACATAGCAAAGTACAAAAAAACAGTCCCATACAAAACAGTCCCAAAAATAGTCCAAAAAACAGTCCCATTGATCGAAGTGATAATTGTTCTAGAAGCTGATAAGTAAATTTATCTCGTATTAAACACATTTTGATTCCAAATAATCCGGATAACAATAGGTAGTATAGTAGAGAAATTAGAACAACCTAGATAACAGCAGCGGCCACTCATTAGAAGCAATAATATTCGAAACATTAAAGTTAACGCAATTTAAGAAAATGGACTCTTTTTTTAATCCAAGCAAAAAGAAACAGGTTGTTCAATCTGTTTCATTTGCAAACACTTGACAACACTCAAAAGAAACGAAATTCACTATCTATCGATGGAAATCATACTTACAAACAAAAATTCTGAGTTACTGATTTTTGAAGGGTATGCTTATATTAAACACAGAACATTGGCAGACAACTCCCTTTCCTGGCGCTGCGCACAAAGTAGTTGCAATGGCCGTGTGCGTACAAAGGAGGACTCCGTTGAGATCGTTAAAGATCACTGCCAATTCCCCGATCCAGCTGACATCGAAAAACGCAAGTTCAGAAAAACACTTAAAGATCGAGCAGCAGTATCCGATGTAACACCGCGGCAGACTATTTTCGCAGCCCAACGTGATGTGAACAGAGAAACAGCGGTTCATCTACCTAGTTATTCTGCTAATCAGCAAGCTGTAAATAGAGTTCGACGCGAAAAAAGACCAAAGATGGCAGAGCCAACATCGCTGACTGGCTTTGAACTACCACTGGCTCTACAGAAAACCCACGATGGAGAGCAGTTCCTTCTTCACGATTCTGGTACCCAAGATGAAAATTGGGTTATTGTGTTCGCCACGTTACCTGGATTAGACTTACTATCTTTATCGGATGATTGGTTCTGTGATGGAACGTTTTCGACTGCTCCCAATGTTTTCTATCAGATTTATACTATACACGCTTCTGTTGAAGGATGCCTTATCCCTATTGTTTACGCTCTGCTACCCGACAAAAAGGAATCAACTTATTGTCGCCTTCTCAGTATTCTAAAAGTTGATTCCCCAAAACGCGTCACAATTGATTTTGAAGTAGCTGTGCGAAACTCAATAATAGCTACCCATCAGAGTGCACAAATTCAGTTTTGTTTTTTCCATATGAGTCAAAGTGTCTGGCGACATGTTCAGTCGTCAGGCAATACTCACAATTACAACAGTGACCTTATTTTTCGCGAACTTATTCGAATGCTTCTCGCAACAGCATTCCTGCCCGTAGAGGACGTCCCACAGCTTTCGAGCTTCTGCAAGGTATGGCATCTGAAGATAGTCAACCGATTTTTAATTATTTCGAGGGGACATATATTGGTAGACTGACTTCTCAAGGACGACAGAAGCCCAGATTTGATATGGAGCAATGGAGTTGCCATCATAGAGTAAAAAACGACCTTCCCCGCACCAACAACGCTGTAGAAGGTTGGAACAGCAATTTCGTGAAACTGGTCAATAGTAAGCATCCATCATTCCCAAAATTGATCGAGAAGTTCCAGGACGAGCAAAAAAATGCGGAAATACTGTTGGAAAAAATGTGCGCAGGACAAAAATTAGCCAGACCAAAAAAAGTTAAATACCAAAAACTCGACAAAAACTTGATCACTATGATTAAGTCATATCAACCCAACGATATCATTGGGTTTTTGAAAGGATGTAGTTATAATATTAAATTATAATCAGAGTTTTCTTTTCTTTTTAATTTTCACATTTATTCCACATTGCCAAGCAATAAAATTTTTCCAAGTTAATTAGTTTTCTTGATTTTTCAAAATTGAGCTAGAGTCGATTTGAACCCGGCAAAATAATGAATACATACAAGGTGTTGATTTTTCTTTTCCCTCCGCCCAACCCTCTAAGGATGAACCCATTGTTGTACCCTAGCTATACCCGTTATCCTATTTACCCGATTTTCAACTTTTTTCGGAAAATTGAAAATATTTTGTCCCGCCGGAGAATCGAGCCTTTGATCTCTAGAGTTTGAGACTAACGCTTTAACCACTATACCATGAGTTCTTTGAATTTCATCCAAAATTTTGTTCCAACTTTGGCTGTTTGATCTTTTATTGCCCCTGTTTGAGTTTTCAAAGCGTAGATTAGTTCTGTCGGTGCCAAAAGATCAAGGTCAAGAAATTCAATTGGTTTTGGACTGTTTTGTATGGGACTGTTTTTTAGAACCTTTTTTTGATGTTTCGGACTGTTTTGTATGGGACGGTTTTTAGAACCTTTTTTTGATGTTTCGGACTGTTTTGTATGGGACGGTTTTGTATGGGACTGTTTTGTATATGCACCAAAAAATGAAGTGTGTCAAAACGAAGCGTTTCAAACATGAAAAATTGAAATATTTCAAAAAATTAAAGGTTTCAAACATGAACAAACAGAGCGGGTTGATATGATGTAGGACCTAGTACAGCATGTTCTGATCACAGTGATTTGAGAAGAGAAGAAAATGAAAGAAAAATAAACAAACTCGAAAAAAATATCTATATACTTTTTGTGAGCTCTTGTAATTTTTTAAACAGAGGGCGGCTAAATTGGGCAACAATTTTCAGAATGAAATTGATTATAGCTAAAATAACGTAAAATGTTCAGTCGATTTAAATTGTGTCTCATCGGAAATGAATTCAGTCTTATCACATTGCGGGAAATTTGTTCCAAAAATCGGAAAAATTCAGTTCAGTTCTTGTCGAAACAGAAGTTCTTTTTTGAACATTTTGAAGCTTTGCCTAGGAGATAAACTTAAAACCGAATCGAAACTTCTGCCAGAAACTATGCTTTTTTATTGAAGAAAATCCTAGATCCGAACTGATTACGCCCATTGGTTATTGATAGAAACTGCATCTTCAAAATTTTTAGGATAAACTCGCACAATTTAATATTTGAGTTGGTTTTCACACGTATCCACTGGAGTGAACTTTTTCGACTAACCTTGTTGCATTGGGAACATGGAGAACAAGGACACATAAAAATATATTCTACTTGTTGCCCAACAAAAAAAAACATCAAAATGATCTTTCAAAGCTCAAATTTTCTTGGAGATAAAAAAAAGTTCAATCTGATTCTCAATTTGTATCAAGAAAGACTTAACTTCAACTCATTTTTAAGATAACGAAAACAAGTAGAGTTTTAAAAAACTGTTTTGGAACGAACTATAACAATTACTTCTATTGCGCCATAGAACGAATAATTGACCTGCTGAATCTATATGATTTTATTTGTCATGATTAAGGTGAAATAGTTGAAACATACAATTATTTCCTGGGAGTAATTCATGGAACCAAAAGATGAGAGAAAGCCGCACTTCATTTTTTATTTCAAATCAATTTAAATCACCAATTGAGGCATAATCTGATAGCATTATTTTGTTGACAAAAAGTTGAATTTTTTGAAGGTTGCCTTGAGCGTCAATAAAGGGGAAACACCACGTGCCATTGTTACTCCGTTTTGATCTTAAGTTTCCAAAACATAAACACGAACTTTCAAAAACCCTCTTCCTCCCTAAAAATGTGAAATGTCGCTTTAATGAACCAATACGCTTAAAATTGCACTTTTATCTTTCTAAGTGTTTAACACTTACATTACTCTTAACCGTTTAATATGAAACTGATCGCCTTCAAAAATGAATATGTTTGCAATACCTGTAAATCCTGTCGCAATCGGTGTTGCTATGAACACAAAACCCATGTGGTCTAATTGAATTCCGATTGCATCGTGAAAATGTAGCGAGAAAGCAGCATCCCGAAAGCCCGATATAAAAAAAAACAACAATCGAGGGTATAATAGCACTCACTGCAGGAAAAGATCCCAGGAACTTCAAGTAGTCGCCGCAATTACTAGATTGTTTTCTGTTTTTGCTGGAGTTCGATGCGGCTGGGAAAATAAAAACGGCAAAAAATGAAAAAATAGCCTCCATTCCACCGGCAAACAAAAAAGCTGCATAGTACCCTCCAAAAACTATCGATTTAAATTGTGTCTCATCGGAAATGAATTCAGTCTTATCACATTGCGGTAAATTTGTTCCAAAAATCGGAAAAATTAAGTTCAGTTCTTGTCGAAACAGAAGTTCTTTTTTGAACATTTTGAAGCTTTGCCTAGGAGATAAACTTAAAACCGAATCGAAACTTCTGCCAGAAACTATGCTTTTTTATTGAAGAAAATCCTAGATCCGAACTGATTACGCCCATTGGTTATTGATAGAAACTGCATCTTAAAAATTTTTAGGATAAACTCGCACAATTTAATATTTGAGTTGGTTTTCACACGTATCCACTGGAGTGAACTTTTTCGACTAACCTTGTTGCATTGGGAACATGGAGAACAAGGACACATAAAAATATATCCTACTTGTTGCCCAACGAAAAAAAAACATCAAAATGATCTTTCAAAGCTCAAATTTTCTTGGAGATAAATAAAGGTTCGATCTGATTCTCAATTTGTATCAAGACAGACTTAACTTCAACTCATTTTTAAGATAACGAAAACAACTTGAGTTTTAAAAAACTGTTTTGGAACGAACCATTACAATTACTTCTATTGCGCCATAGAACGGATAATTGACCTGCTGAATCTATATGATTTTATTTGACATGATTAAGGTGAAATAGTTGAAAATATTTCCTGGGAGTAATTCATGGAACCAAAAGATACGTGAGAGGAAGCCACGCCTCATTTTTTATTTCAAATCAATTTAAATCACCAATTGAGGCATAACCTGATAGCATTATTTTGTTAACAAAAAGTTGAATTTTTTGAAGGTTGCCTTGAGCGTCAATAAAGGGGAAACACCACGTGCCACTGTTACTCCGTTTTGATCTAAAGTTTCCAAAACATAAACACGAAATTTCAAAAACTCTCTTCCTTCCTAAAAATGTAAAATGTTGCTTGAGTGAAACAATACGCTTAAAATTGCACTTTTATCTTTTTAAGTGTTTAACACTTATATTACTCTTAACCGTTTAATATGAAACTGATGGCCTTCAAAAATGAATATGTTTGCAATACCTGTAACTCCTGTCGCAATCGGTGTTGCTATGAACACAAAACCCATGTGGTCTAATTGAATTCCGATTGCATCGTGAAAATGTAGCGAGAAAGCAGCATCCCGAAAGCCCGATATAAAAAAAACTACAATCGAGGGTATAATAGCACTCACTGCAGGAAAAGATCCCAGGAACTTCAAGTAGTCGCCGCAATTACTAGATTGTTTTCTGTTTTTGCTGGAGTTTGATGCGGCTGGGAAAACAAAAACGGCAAAAAATGAAAAAATAGCCTCCATTCCACCTGCAAACAAAAAAGCTGCATGGTACCCTCCAAAAACAATTAGGACGCTTCCGATAATAGGACCAGAAAACATGCCAAGAGCAAATATTGTGTCTATTATAGCTGCCATCAGGCCTGCTTGTTCTGGAAAGCACTTAAGCGGTATCGGTGTTAGCATTGCGTATGTCATTGCAACACCTACTCCATTTATTGCTCTGGCTAAGATACATAGTGCGAAATATAAACGAGACGCTGGCATGAAATTCAGTAATCCAAAACTGGCAATGGCAAATGAGCATAAAAACGTTCCACTGATTGACACGAAGTTGGTGCTTTTTGGTGTTGTGAGACTTCCGACAATAAATGAGGCGAACAGGCAAGAGAATTCCAGTGATCCAGTTACGATTCCAATCTGCGACTGTGACAGTCCTAAACAGAAGCGGCAAACAACTTGATGTGCTACAAAACTTTGAAGAGAAGATATTGTTTCTCAAAAATATGTTGTCCTTCATTTTTGAATCGATTTCTCTGAGATATAAAATAATTCTATCTACCACTATCACAGGAAACATTCTTGAAAAAGAAACCCAGGAAACATTCTTGAAAAAGTATATGTTATGAAGGTTTATATTAGAGTAGATAAGCATGTCTTGTGCTGAGTTAGAGTTAATTTATCTCGATGAGACTCTTGAGTAACACGAACGTTGAAACAAAAATTGAACAAGACAAGACTGCTCATATATCAGGGCGAAGCCCTGAATGTTCCGACAGCTCCTTAATCCATATCGAATAGTTTTTGCTATAATAATTATGAACAAAATCATTGGAAAACTATAATTTTTTAAATACCAATTATCATGTGTGAAAATTTAAGTCGTACGAAATTAATGCGACCAATTAACTTGCCACCTCGATTCAACTTGGAACGATTTTGTTGTGCGGGATAAATCACCACGCATAAATAATTTGCGTTACGCTTTCAGCTTTGTGAATAAAAGCTTCGAAGTCCGCATAATTTAGTCCAGAACATAGCCAAATTTGCAATTTTTTAATTTTCAAAAAATGATCGAAAATAAAATATCTTTTTAAATTTGAGTCAATATCTTCAATGAGGTATAAAAAAAATGTTAAAAACTATTATTTCGGTCGCCGAAAATTGACTGAATAAAAAAACTACATCGAGCATAAATATTCCGTTTTCTTCGAAATGCGGAACAATTATAAGGGGATAAATAACTTGAGAAAATTAGACAACAAAATTGTTCCCATAAAGAGTGCTTTAACCCAATTCATTTGATGAAAAATAGCGCAGATATAAACGTGTAATTTGTGGACAATTTAAATCATAGCGAAATTTTGTTCCGAATTTTGTAACGAAAGTAACGGAATATTTGTGCTGGGGGTGGTTTTTTCTTCAGACAAATTTCGACTTTTTAACTAGCCATTTTAACGAACTTTTTAAATATCATTTAAAAGGTATTGTTGTCCTCAGCTTAAATTTGAATTCTTGAGTTAATTACGTCTGTGATCATTTTTCGCAAAGTTATGGTGGTTTAAAAATTGACATTTTGGTAAATTTGGGAGAATTATTCCGCGATATATTTCGTGCTATTAACGCGTAAGCGTAGATTTATTCCGTCCTAGCATAAGGTATAAGTCCGTAATTTATAAGGTTTCTGCAACTATGCAAATAGTTTACTTTCTTAAACTGTTCCAAACTACAAACATAATACGCTCTATTTAATAAAAAGAAAAAACTCTTCTTTTTTGTTGTTTTTGATCAAATAACTGCTCTTTTAGGTAAAATGTTTGGTCTAATTTTAACAATTGTGGTTTTTGGGAAAAGTGGAAGAGCTATCAGCAAGCCTATTAACAACCCTATCTCAAAATAAAGCTTTGCATGTAAATTTTCCCGAATTACATGATGAGTTAATTTGTTGAGTGAAAGTGTTTTGCGACTCAAGGCTTTTTTGCGTTAAGAACTTTTACGTGGTACTACAATTTCAATCAAAGTCAACCACGCCGTCAAGAGAAGGGTCATTCTCAGACGCTGTCATTCCAATGACAGGGGATTCAAACTCGATCAAGCTTGTCCATTTATAGATGTTAAGAGCTATTAAAACAGATCTGTTGTTTGATTGGTTTTTTGTTTAACAAATTATGCGTTTCAGAAACCAGCTGATCCAGTGTGTCTTCCCCTGATTATTCTTTTTGGCAGGAAAAATCAACAACCTCAACCAGGTGCGGATCTAAGATTTTCTCGGGGGGGGGGGGTCCTTTTTTTAGGTCAATCAAATTGATTTTCCGAGCTCCCCCAAGCACTAAAAAAAACTGTTTTGCCCAAATTTTCTGCGCCGCAGGCAAAATTATTTAAAAAACAGGCCAAAAAATGTGTTTTTAGACCTTTTTTGGAAAAATTTTACCCAAAATTAGCGCGCGCTTCTCCCTCAAAATTATTAAATACAGGCGCCAAAAGCGCCTTTAGAAAACTTTATGCCCGTCAGCCAAAAATGGATCTCAAAATAGTACAAAGAGGACCCTTTGGATCAACAGGTGGTCCAATCTTTGACCTCAACCCGGGCTACCTTCTATTACGGTGCATTGCCCGAGGTCGTTTATTCACAGAAGTTACTGTTCCCCTTTTCAAGCCATTCACAAACTTTCTCAGAAAAGTCTCATTTACAGGGCTGTGTCAGCAAAAAACGTTCATTTGACGAAAATAAGGTTCAGGGTATGGCTGGAACGAGTGCGCAGTTCTCTACGCACAAATGAATCACTTCTTCGAGTAAACTAACTGGCTTCATGCCAATTTAAAAAGTTTTTAGCATAAATGAGCTGCGGACGAGTTTAACACAGAAATATTGCAAAAAGCAAAAAAAAGCTTGATATAAAAGCACTAAGACAAGATAAATAAAAATTAAGGAATGCTGATGTGGTAAATATTTTGGTTTAAGCTAGATTGGATCAAATACATCGGAAGGTTTTATGTCTTTGCCTGCTTGGGCGGTTTAAACAGCAAACTTCTTTAAGCAAAACAGCAAACTTTCCATGCACATGAACAGCTTCTAACAAAAAAACTAAATAGAAAGTTACATAACTGCAAAATACAAAAAAAATCCCAGAAACAATTTTTACAGGCCAATTTCGTTAACAAACACCTAATTCAAAATACACTTCTACTCAACCAAACTATTGCATATCTAAAAAACGACAGTGTATCAGCTTACACTCACTTTGGCTTCCCATAAATTAGGTCGTCCATTGACACGGTTAAAAAATTTTGAAGAAATACAATCAAATTTTCTAGCTACCAAAATACCATAGATATTTTTCCTTGCATTGAAATGCATTCAATTCTATTTCATTTCAAATTTTTCTCAAGAAACAGGACTTATTTGGGTCTTAAATCAAGCTTTTGAATTATTTGCTAGTTTTTATTGGATCAAAAACAGCGTCATAAACTGATGTGATGGTACAAAACTTTATTGGGCTATGGTACATTTTGGGGTACCAGAAAGTACAAGGCTCACTTGATTGTTCTTAAATTTTGTGTGAGTGATTTTAAAAGTAAATTGGGAAACCATGTTCAAACTGCGCAATTTGCGAATAATCTATTTTTTGCGGAGAAAGACTTGTCAATTTTGAAATCTAACATACAATACACCTTAAAGTTTTTAAACTTTTTTTGTCGGAGAGCAAACTTTTTGTTAATGCAGACAAAATGGATTTCATCTCATTTTTTGTTATTCGTTTTAAGTACTTAGTTCTTTTGATCTTCGGTATTGATTAGATGCCTACCAGCTTTGTTGTGCATCGACCATGGGTCGGTCATTCACTGTTCGAAAGAATATGAGAAGGCACACGCACCAAGATGGATGCCGATAGAGTCAGTCGTGAATCAAGGAATGAAAACACCAAAAATGTCTATAAATCCGCGGAGGAGAAACGGATATATAAAAAAAACTCAACGAGATTAGAAGACCGGAAGCCAACGAGAAGTTATGATCAAGTTTTTATATCGCTCTATTAAACGAAGGTGAACGGGTGTTCACGCAGAAAAAGACTATTATCTAAATTTTGGCTATCATTTTTGTAAAACTGCGGGATTTGTTACAACCTGCTTTAAAAAATGAAATAAAAACAAGGACACAAGGAATCCTTTCAATACTTCTGGGGAGCTTTAAGAGGTTCAAGTAATACTAGACTTGCAGACGTAAAATATTTTAAAAAGGATGTTCTCATCTGCTTTATGAAGAACATCAAAACCTCCCGACAAAAACTATTAAAAAATGCTTGAAAAAGAAACAGTCAGAGCGACTAAATGACGAATTTTCAGCGCTTAGTGTATTTACTATCTACGACCAAAATGGCCTGTTGAAAAAAAGTTTAATGCATAGGCTATGGTTTTAAGATGTTTTTTAGAAATACGATCTCTGTGGATTTGGCAAGCTCAGTCAGTTTCATCGGCGAGAATTGAAATTTAGATAACCCAAGATGAAATTTTTCCCAAATTGAATATGCTGAAAAACCGATAAGAGATGTGTACAGCGGAATCACTGTGAGACGGTTAAAATCCTAGCACAAATAATTTTCTTAGAACAAAATCTACCGGATAGGTTTGTGAAAAGAGATCATTTCTCATCCAACGAGGACACGAGAGAAGTTTCTTGACAAACAAATTCCTTCCAAGTTGTTGATCAAGGTCAAGCTGAAAAAAGCTCAAGACCGATCTGTTAACTCAGCCTTCCACCAAATAGGAGTAAGTTCACATAGTTTTTTTTTAATACGAGTCGATTTGTTGATCATTTTAAATATCTATTAATGGTTCGGGAAAATTCTTAACGATGGCAAAACAACACATTTCTATACACCTTTTATACCTACAAAAAGAAGGGTTCCTCTTCACCTGCTAAGTGGGAATGAGGCTGAATTAAAAAAAGTGGAGACCAAAGGCGATGTTTTATCAGCCTATTAACGATCACAAAAAAAAAACGTTACACTCAAAATATTTTAATGACCAAAAAATCTTTTAAAAAATACCAGTGGCAACAAATCACTTGATAGATAAGGTAGCACTGCAGTTTTAAGAACACTCGTTGGATAAGTTTCGTTTGGCTATCTTGATCTCAAAAAGCTTGCAGCCAATTGAAAAGTTGCGACAAAACCAGCAAACAATTCAACCAGCAAAAAAATGAGGACAGCACTGGCAATTTTTGCACCGTAATTTACCGACTTGGCGATATGCCAAATCAAATTTGGAGCGTCTTGGACACACTTCTGAAAAAGATCCTTGTCACAAAATACCTTGACGACGTCTTAATCCCTTAAAACGGTTCGTTCGAAGAACACAAACCGATCTAACAAAATTCTCTCGATCTAAGACGAAAAAAATAATGCGGTGAAATGCAGCAAATTATCTTTTTTTATCAAATTGAATCAAATGGTTGGGATTCAAGAATCTTGAAGTAGGGTGCACCCTTTGCTCGGAAAAGCCAACGCAATCAAAAATCTTCCTATACCTGAGAATATTTCAGAACGCCGATTTTTTTAAGCTCAATCAATCCACACGTCATTTCTGTGCCACACCTGTTCACATTTAGTTCACCCATTGAAATTGTGTCTAGCTGCGAAATGATGAAAAAAAAATTTGCTTTCGAGAAACTAAAATCTGAAATATGATTATTACAGAAAACAGCCTTTTTGATATTGAAGAATAAACGGGATTGAAAAACGATGCTTCACACAACGGATTGTGAGCAAATTAGAACAGTTCCAAGCTGACGAGTGGAAAACAATTGTAGTCGCTTTATAGTTGTTCGATTGTTCGCGAAATAAAATATTCTGCGAACAAAAAAATTACCTATTGGGAGTAGATAAGGCATCGGAACAATTCAAAAATTTTTTATTTGGATCAGAATTTGAAGTTGTTACTGAGAACAACCTACTTTCACCGTTTTACTTCAACCATTATCACATAATCATGTTTTAAAAAAAGACAAAGAGCAGACTCATTTGGTTAACCGTTTAATTTTGATATTTCCTATTTATCAGCGAAAAATATGGATTTTGCTGATCCTTCATCAAGACTTCACGCAAAGTCAAACCATCGTCACAATATGAGCTCGAAGTAGTGGTAGCTTCAGTCATTAACAAAAAAGCATTCTATTGGACAGAAATTACATTAACAAAACTTAACGATATTGCGTTCAGACTCTCGGTCGCTGTGACTTCAATTAAATTTAAAAAAAACTCCGTAATTTGGTTGGTCGAGACTCCACATTTTTTCAATGGTCTCCGTCACGCTCCAACATATTGCTTCTATCTTTCCGTGTATTGCACAGTCACTCAAAACTGCAACAAAAACCACACAAGGGCAGAAACTTTTTCCACAACTCGAAATTCAATTTCAATAGATTTACTTTCTCAGGTGATTTTTTTCTTTATGTGATTTTTAAGAAAATTTTTCCCAGTCGATCATCTTTCCCTCGTTAAACGTTATGAAGTCGATCTCAGTCAGCCCAGTTTGACACTAAACCCGGAGAACCGTTGTTCTAATTAGCTATCAGGGTTAATCACCACGGACGAGAAAATTATTTGCGATCTCAGTCCTTCGGTCAAAACCAACAGCCCTTTGAGATTTTTTGGAATCTACAATAAGAAGGTTAAAGAAGGTTGCAAGCATTTCCGAGTCAAAGACAACCTATTCTTCTTGGATAACAAGCTCAATAGTTCCAGCAGCAATCCAGGGCATTTTGTACATTTTTCCACGAAACTCACCCAGGACATTTCGTAACGAAAGTTTTCACCGAAAATATGTAGTGATCATATATTTAAAGAAAGAAGGACTAACACAGATAGTCGGGTCAGCAATTATCAAAAGCCAGTAAGAACTTCAAAGACTTCTGTGAACGACTAAACTTAGTTTACGACTAAACTTCCGAAATTTTTTTTTCTATTGAATAATTGAATTTAGACTCGTCTGATGTTATCGAGTATCAAGATTTTTTGAAAAAACTCGAAATACCTCATCTTACTTTTTTTTAGTCAATCACTGTCACTAATTTAGATTTCTGGGATAAATTGGAGTCGATCGTTGGTCATGTTTTTTGTCTTGAATTTTAAATTTTTTTTTTGTGAAAAGTTTAATTCTGGAGATGTCTGTTGTACAGCTGGCGATCAAAGATCGAATGGACTTTAGAAAGACTTGTTTTACGGTGAAGGCAATAGTATTATCCATGATTTTTGATAAATCTAAGTCGACTCTGCGTTCGTTAATCGAAAAAGTTTTTGGAAATTGAGAATTACAAAATAATCATCCATCGGGTTCACATTTTAAAAAAAAAATTCTAAACGATTTTCGAACACAACGGGAAAAATCTGAAATCTCAAGATAATCATCAAGATCCAGAAAAATCTACACTCTCAGGAAAACGAGCCACCAACTGGGAACTGCACGATGGGGCGAAAGACGGCTATCTTGACACAGGCATGAGTAACTCGCCATCAACAACAGACTGAGAAGTCAAGAATGATCCTTCAGCGATCAATGATATAAAGACTCGTACTTCCTCTGGTAGCCCTCAGAAAACATACCTCGGAGTTAAATTATATAGACAAGCCACAAACGAATAAAAACGAGGAACCTGACTATGATATTATTAATGAAAAAATTATACTACTCAGCGCACACGAAAACCCGAAATAGTGGACACGCTTTTCGGAAATCGGACTTTGCATCTAAGGGTGAGTTACTTCCCGGCTTGACTAAAATGTCAGTTAAACCCTTGCCCACTGGTCCAAGCGCAAATAACTTTACGAGTTTAGCAGGGAAAATAAAGATGACTCCCCCGAAGAAGGCAGCAACAGATGCCACCCAACGGACAACCTCCCGAAGCTAGACGAACATCAACCTCAAGATATAGCTATGGATCACGCCTTCTACTGTCATCTTAGAATCGCCACACATCTAATCATGTTCTTCCTTATTATTAGATTTAGTCTCCTGGGTCGAAGAAAAAATGAAACATCTTAAAGAAAAAACGACTAGTTTGCAGGCCAATCACACAGGCCTGCCCAAGGTATCTAATTTTAAAAGCTTCACAAGGATGAAAAACAAGTAGTCGCCCCGATGTGATATAAATGGACAGTCCGATGTGCTCTAGGACGTCAGCGGCACCCGACACAACGGGCCAGACTTGATCTGGGACGGAGCCAATCCTTCTTAAGAGCTCATCAGACAGACGAACCTCATTCTTTCACCCAGCAGCCTCCGTTTGGCCTCCAAAAAGGAAAACCGTTGAAGCTCCAAAAGTTTTTACTGGAAAAAATATATTGAGAAGGTGTCAGAAAAAATCGCCGTATTCGATGGTCTCTGGACTCTAGACGACAGTCTTTGCAAAGCGATGTTCCCTCCTTGCAATCAGTGGTAGTCTCCATCAGAATTCTTAACTTCTATCGCTAGCCCTCCAGACAGGTCAAATTTTATTCGCCGCCCAAACCCAAACGCCGACATGGTCGTGAAAACTTACAATTTCAACTGGTACAATTAAGTCGTCATTGCTCGAAACTACAACTGTCTTCATCCCTTCAGAGACAGACTATCTACCTTATCTGCCGTTATCGCAGACTCAGAAAAAAGAAGCGACAAATTGTCATTTGCTGATCAAGATTTGAAAAAAAAACTCAGACTATTTCGACCCAAAATTCAACAAAAACTAAAAAAATTCGTTAATTTGATGATTCGTATCCCTTTTTATTTCTTTTTAGGAAACATTTGTGCTAGACCTTAAGTGCAGTTTCAAATTATTCCTCAAAGACAGAAGCGGATCTAGGAATTTCTCGAGGGGGGCGGATTATCAAAAAATGAAAATTTTGTCGACTTTTTTTAAGTCGACCATATTGATTTTCCGAGCTCCCACAAAGCAATAAAAAGACTCTATCTTGCTCAATCCCCCGCCCTCCCCCCTAAATCCACCCCTGGTGTAGTATAAAAAATAAATTTTTAAATTAGAAGAAAATTATTCGAAAATTTTGGCTGCTTAAGCCCGTATATAGTGTAAATTGACTCTGACACGTGAATAGTTCAATATTTTACCGTGATCTTTGGCTTGCGCAGGAAAAAATGGTCCCGGAAGTGACATGCAAAGACCCTCAAAGGCAGCCAGAGTAGCGACAACTGCCACAACTGTTATTCTTCTCAACAGAGAGAGATCGTGTTTTGTTGACTCCTCTTGTTTCGGAATTAAATTCAACGGCTGCGTTTCATCTGCAGTGTAATCTGTCAAGTTGGCGGGATTCGAAGAACTGTGAAAACCTGATTCCGTCAACGGAGATGCAGTCATAGCAGAAATGCAAGTTTTGCGTCTCAGACAAGTAAACTATAAGAAATTAAGTGTATATTGTTAATTAAAACAGCCAAAGGTTTGGTTGTAAGCAAAAAATAAATGATAAAATTTTTTTGAAAAATCTTCTTCTTTTGAAGGATTGGTAAATTGTCGTTGGGCTATATCCGGAAAAAATCTTGGGGAATAATATTAACTCTTAGCAAAATTTGCAATAGAAAACATCGTTTTAAATAAAGGCACTAAATCAATGAAAGTAAAAAAACAAGCACTGATGTTTAATATTTAAGTTCAATCTAGACTATTACTTCTCATCTCTTTCTCTTTTTCTCAAACTTAATCAAAGTAAGAACTATCTGCGTTTGAACAGAGCAGCCAAATATGACAGAACTCGAGAAGTAATTTTGTGTATTAAGACTTATGCGAGTAATCTCGTTCGTCAAAGTTGTTTGAAATGGTGACAAGAGGATGAAAGGCCGCCTAACTTAGGCTGAAAGGGATCTTTATCTGAAAGGCTGAAAAACTGTGTGATATTCCAACTAATCGGGTTTGAAAGGAGCTCAGTTAAAGCCTACAGAGAATACAGAGGGTCGCTTTGGGGTAGGCGAGTATTTACAGAAAACATCGGAAGGATTAGACGATTACGGATCACCGGTTGACCATCGTCCGGCCAAATCGAATCACCAAACTGAACCAAAGCCGAGTTAAACCCAAATTTCTCGACTTTATCTTCGCTTGAAGTTCATCTGATTTTTGACTGGCCAACATGCCGAATTTTACACGGTTATTTCAAAATTTAATGTCATAGGCTTCTCAGTTCGCAATAGTGAAAACTCAGTCGAATCCGAAAAAAAAACTTATTTTTAACAGCTGAAGCGAAAACTGATTTAAAAATGTAGAGCATAAGAGCGTAACTCTGATGGCAAACAAATTAGCTCATAATTTTTCACCGCCTTAAACCCAGTTATGCAATTTAGAGATGAAATGATTGATCAAAATTCAATGTCAGCCATAAAGGAGGAGAACAATTGAGAAACATTGTTTTCGTGCAAGAAATAAGCAAACAGGAAGCTGTGTTTCAAAAGATTTTCCAAATTACATAAACTTTTTCTGCAAAAAGCAGGTTGTGGCCGCTTCAGCAGAGACTAATCCCAAAACCGGGTTTCTCAATCGAACACTGAAGAATTGGCACGGTAGTTTTCACGTAGGTCAAAGAGTTTCTACAATCGATCAAAGCTTCAAAAACTTTACTTGTTTGAAGGCCATAACTTCTTTATTAAACAAATACTAACTATAAACCTAGCCTTACATCAACCTGTCGTTTCGATTAAAACTATGATCTCTGATTTGGCAGGGTAGATAGCGAGAAAAGTCCAAAAACGGTCAACAAATCAAAAATTTGGCATCTCAGAGGATCATAGCTTTTTGAGACAATAATTGACGGCAGCTGTTTATGGAAAGGAATTCAAGCGAACTGTAATTTCGATTGCAACCAAAATCTCAAATTTGTGAGGTTAGTTCTCGAAAAAATCAAAAACTTTCAAAATAAACGGTCAAAAATTCAAAATTTCCTGGGCCATAATTTTTGGCGTCAGACAATTTTCGGCGTAGTCGCATAAACAAAGATCTTTCACGTACCCATGTTTTTGAACTGAATCCAAAACTTCAGATATGGTGGGGCAGTTTTCGAGAGTTTTCAAAAAGTTTAAAAAAGGTCAAAAGAACATGTATTTGACTTTTCCTGAGGGTGATACATTTTTGTGTAAAAAACTTTGCTTGTAGCCGCTGGTGCAGGAGAGCTTCTACTAACCGTTATCGCCATTGAACTCACAATATCAGATTTGAGAGGTTACTTTCTGAGAAAAGTCAAAAAGATTCACAAAACGATTTTTTGGATTGCCGTAACTTTGTGTAAAATAATGCCGCATAACCGTTCATTTCAGGAGTTTTTGAAAAGTGTTTTGTTCATTGAATTCAAAAACTCATATCTGGGAGCAATAGTGTTTGAGAAAAGACAAAAACATTCACTAATTGTTCAAAAATGAAAAGTTTGACTATTCCAAGATCATAACTCTGTGTAAAAAATATTAGGCCTAGCCGCTTATGTAGGGAGCTTGTCAAAACCATTTTTTCTCCATTGAAACTTGAAACTGAGAATTGAGAAAAGGTAATTCAGATTTAATTTGAACCCATGATTTTGGCCATTCCATGCATATTCGTTACCTCCAGGCTTAGTTTACCGGGAACGCATAAAGTTTGAACTCATTATGAGCCAAGATACAATTGATTCAAGTGATTCTCTTAAACAAGTTGTTAACCCAAAAGTCTATATTCCGGTTTGAAAACGCTTTGCATACTAATTGCAAGCGTAAAAAAGTGTGGCAACTTTGAGAGCTATTAAAACGCACGTTTTTAACTTGAGAAATTCAATGCATATTATATTGGTTTCTTTTAGAGTTAATTGTACATGCTTCTAAGATAGTTGTTAAAAGTGCATAACTATAAAAGTAAAAATTTGGCTATGATACAAACTGTTCATTTTGTTCGAAGTAGAAAAAAGAGCGATTAAGATATTAAACTTGAATCTGCCATCTATTATAAAATAACATTTAATTTTTTTCACGGTTTTGTTAATTTAATAGGATTTGGAGTTGCCCAATTTTATTTGAAAAAATTTTTGTACAAAACAATCCCATTTTTTCAAAAAAATTGCAGAAACCGTGTCTGTACAAATCCAAATCAATCCCATACAAATAGTCCTATGCGAAACAGTTCGAAAAACAGTCCCAATTAATAATTGTTTTAACACGACGGTAGGCCGAGAATTGACCTTTGTTCAACAAACAAAAAGAACAAAACAGTGACCGCCGCAGTCGCGCCAACGTGTTGCGAGCTTGCCAAGAGAGGGTAGTACGTAAATCGAAATTTAGAGCTGGTTATGTTAAGCCGGACTGTTTTATATTGGACAGTTTTTTTCCTTCATTACATGATTTTTTGGGCTATTTTGTATTTGACTGTTTTGTATGGGACTGTTTTGTATATGCACCATAGAAACACGTTTTTTTTCAAGATTAACTTCTCTTCAAAATGCTGGTTATAATTAGGCGAAAGAAATAGTCGTATTCTATTCGAGGAGTAACTTTTGTTCTATTGAATTTGCAGAAAAATGTGCTTTAGAATTCAAAGTTTCTGTTTATGCAAGTAGACTGCTATTCAGCTGACTGTGGATAACTTCCCAATTAATCTTGTAAAATAAAGACCGCCTTCGAAAATCCAGTTTCTCTAAATTGTTTTTGGATCCGTTATTTGGCTGAAAGAAAATTTAATGCATAGAATAGACTCCTGGTGTGAATCTGAGCAAATTTGAAAGTACGCTGTTTTTTTTTGTCAATATATCGCCATTTGCGTCAAACTTTTGATTCTCGAAACCTGCTGCGCGATTGCTTTTGCTATCAATTAAAAAGAACAAACGTTTTTTTGTAACTGAACTGAAGTGTTTCATGAATTTTCGTGCACTTGTTTGCCTTGGGCGAAGGTGGCCTGGTATCTAACTTTCTTTTTAAGGTCGCCGGTGAACACACAACGCGGCTTTGCGGCGACAACGGAGTCCTGCTATTCATTCAACCACTACTGCATGTTTTAATCGCTTTTTAACTCAGATCTTTCACATCATTTTCTGGTTTTTCGGATGTTTGCCATATGTACGCTCGGCGTAAGCATGGATTGGAACCCACGACTCACTGAGCAACGAAGTATTCGCTTCGATTTAATTAGCTTGCAGCTTGTTATTGTAAGCAATTTTAAGCGCGAATAAGCTGTGTGCAAGTCCTACATCGAAATATTGAAAAAAAAACAGGGGCAAACTTAAGACCCATAAACTTACTGACCAAAAGTGGAGTGAAAACGGGGAACGATTAAAAGATGGCAATCAGAAAATGCCCTCAGAAAATGATTCATGATTTCATAGATGAAAATGAGTGATCAAAAGTTCAATGAAAGTCAGAAAACCAATTTAAATGCTGCGTACATTGGGTTCGACCAATGCAGCAGCAAAGCTGTTTCAGATGCTCAAACCGAAAAGATCGAAAAAGGCGTTTTTTGGATCCTGACTTTTATCGAGAACGGTCGGTGTTGTTATGATTTTCTTAGAACTGCACACATTGTTTGAACATGGTCAAGTATAAAGCTTGTACGCTTTTAGCTACTTTCCTTCTTTAAAAAAAAACATTTTACAAATTGACCTATTTCCGATTTTTTTTTCAAAACGGTTTACAACGAGCTTATCTATTATCGTGACCTCAAAATTGTACCGGATATAACATTACTAATTTATGATGGGCAGCCGGTGCTATGACGTACCAAACCTCACCTCAACCACCCTCCCCCGACAGGGGTTCGGCGAACTGATTACCTGCTTGTACTGCTTAACATTTATTTCCGGTCAACTAGCCATTAAATTGTAATTTGACTTCGGTGCCAAAACACATTCAAATTGAAGGGGGATGCTCAGAAACTTCTGTGAGAAGCTTTCAAAACGGCCCAAAATGGTATTTGAGGAACTTTTTTTCAAACAATCGACGTAGGCACTATTTAAAAAAAATGTGAGTTAGCTTAGAAAAGAAAGAAGGTTCCTACTAATACACTAACCCTCGCAAGCTTGATAGTGTAATTAAATAACAGTCTCCAAAAGGCGGACCTGATACTGTCAAATCTGGTAAAAAAGACCAGTGTATTTCTTTGCAACAAAAACTAAAATTGCAAAAAATGCAATTAGATTTAGTGCACATTTTCCCCCACACTCAGTGTCAAGTATAAAATTACTTTTTTTTTGCGTGTTCAATGGAAGCTTCGGATCAATTAGCTTGTCTCAATTCAATTTGGAGTATTTTCAGACTGAGCATAAAAAATAGCATCCATCGTAAGCAATTGTCAATTCAACGCTATTTACAAAGTAGGCTATTTACATTTGATATCGAATTTTAAATAAATTTTACAATAAATGGACAATAAATAGATGGATTTTTCATTTGAACTTTTCGACAGCTGTTTGTGAGTTAGGTATGAATCCAAAATCCGAAGGGTTTGATCCATTCCAATCCACTTCTATGTCACTCCACCTAAACAGAAAGTTAATTTCAAATTTAACGAACAAACAACTATTTCAAGGAGGGCGCCTCGAAGTAAAATACTGCGACCTTAAAAAGGAATTATTAAGTTATAAACTACTTTTCAAACTTTGCGACTTGTCTTTTGGCGCGAGTTGTCGCGGTACCGTAAAATATGTGCATATCAGCGAGCTTATTTCTACACATTGTGAAAAGAAAATTCATTTTACGCTTTGTTATTCGAATATGCTTAATTGATAGATATTTCTTTATAGGGGGGGGGGGGGGGGGGGGGGGGTTGAAGATTTGTTACTGGCTGATATACGAGATAGGATTAATGCATATATCTCAAATACATAAAAAAGATGAAGTATCAATTGAAATTTAGTAAGATTTTATCGTTAATACAAATAGCCGTTTGCCCTCTAGGGCGGCCCTCTAACAATTTGCTCAATTTTTGACTAAGTAATAAATGGTTAAAATGTGAAACGGTTAAATTAACAAGCATAAACAGAAGTGTTGATACCGCCCGCAATAGATCCAGGTTTTCACAAATAAAAACATCGATAAGAAAAAACATCGATAAAAACATCACAAATAGAAACACTATAAGCAAGTTCAATGCCAAAAACGGACTACAAAGTTGTTCGAAATTCCATTTCCACTTTCCGGCTTGTTTCTTTTTCAGCATAATTTTAATACTCAACTTCGAAAAATGTGAAACAAATATCTGATATCGCTCTGTTTGGGCTTTAAACAGAGGAGAATTTGTACTTCGCATACACAAGCAAAAAAATGATAACACTTCTAGGAAAAACTGAATGAGTAAAACTGAACGTTAACGCTAATAGGAAAAACTGAATGAGTAAAACTTTTCGCATACACAATCAAAAATATGACCTATAACGCTACTGGAAAAAACTGAATGAGTCAAAAAAATTTAAGTGACGCACGCCAATGATGTGTCTACATAATTGCTAAGTTACGCAAGGCAGTTATGACATACTAAGAGTACCAGTCAACTTTTTTAAAAAAATTACCTAACATGCCTCACTTTATAGAGCGGATATGCATTTTAACTAGTAAACTAAAAAGTTCATTAAAAACATCCGAACCTGTCCAAGTTCGCACCCTCTTATTTTGTTGCTGGTCTCCTTCCCTACCTCTACGCTACAGATCCATGATACCTTGAAGTTAAAGTGCTAATTGTAATATAATAGTCTGTGTTAATATCCTTAGCATTGGCTGTACTTAATAGCTGGATCAAAATGAACACTTTCAAAATGAACACCTTTTGTCGCAGCAATTGCATCGCAACAATATTTGCGACTTAGGTTGGAAAAAAAGAGAGTTCATACTATAACAGAAGCTGTGCTTGTGTAATTAGATTGACTCGGACAGCGGGACATACGTATACTGACAAAAAATTCTCAGATCCGCTAAATTGAAATCCGTCAAAACCCTAAATAGACGTAAGACAAATCGTGATACAAACTTTGTTCTAATTGTAGTTTCGATAGAGTGGAAGTCATCTTCTGTCAGATCTCCCCATGATACCATGGCTCGTGCATCTAAAATAAAGGTTTCATCTGGCATGGAGTGAGCAAACAATTTGACGGTGAGCGGCAATATTTCGAGAACATAGTCAATCGAAAATTGGAACAGAGCAATGAACGCAAGTAAACATAAAAAAACAGAGTTTCGAAGAAAGTCAAAGAAAAATAGATGCTCTTTAAGCTCTTATGAATTTCTAGAACGATTTATGATTGGCGCTTTCTTGATAACATTAACCCAACTTGTGAAAACTGGATCAACAGGTAAAGTTTTTTTTCCGCTGGAAATCTAAAAATTAAACTCCACTTTCGAAACTAGAAAATGTCACGAATTTTTGGAGAGTGGTATTTACGTCAGTTTCAGCAGATGAATTTCAATTGAACTCAAAAGAGCATATATACCTAATTGCATCAATATTTAAGGACTATTTCCTGAAAAAAACTCACAAAACCTATATAAGAGTATTCACTACGTTCATTACTCTTAAAAACGAATGGATTTATTTATATCATAAATTTTGACTTCTATACGCCTAACTCGTGGTTTTTCTTTAGCTCTTAACAGATTTACTAGACAACGATTTAAATTTTTGAATTAATGCAAGCCGCCTTCCGTCGAAACTCTAACATTTTTCTCGATTAAAGAAAGATTTTTCGTCGGTGAGCCATGCTGTGAAAAGAAGCATGACAGACCTTTAAACACAGAGGCGAAGCTTCGCTCACGCACTAACCACTTAGCTACGGGCGTTTAATCACAACACTAGCCTCAAAGAAAGCAGAGAACAGATGCTGAAAATTCCCATGCTACAGATCGTGGTTATAGCATAAACGCTTACAGTTAGGTTAGAAAAAAGGTTCGTACTAAAACAATAGCTGCTTGCAAGTGAAAATAAAGCCAATCGAAGACTGGAAAATAGTAATGAACGCAAGTAAACATTAAAAAAAACACAGACTTTGTTGAAAAAATAACTTTTGAATTTCAAAGAAAAAATAGATGCCCTTCAAGCTCTTTGACTTTCTAGAACATTTTATGACCGGCGCTTTTTTCATAACATAAACCCAACTTGCGAAAACTGGATCATCAGGTAAAGTTTTTATTCTGCTGGAAATCTAAAAACTAAACTCCTCTTTAGAAACTAGAAATGGTCACGAACTTTCGCGCCATTTGCACGTTCGTATTTGGAGAGTGCTATTTACGTCACTTATAGCAGATGAATTTCAATTGAACTCAAAAAGTGCATTATACCTAAGTGTATCAATATTTTAAGACTTTTTCCTTTTAAAAAAATCAGCAAGACTTATAAAAGAACCTTCACTACGTTCATTACTCTTAAAAAAGAAGGTTCGCACTAAAACACTAGCTGATCGCTAGGGTAATGAACATCTGTGGCAAGCGCAACCGTTTTGCATTGCTCCTTTGAGTGCTTCAAAGAAAATTTTGGAAATGCTTCAATTTCACTGCCATAATAAAGACACAATTTAGGAAGTTGTTCAAACAGCCAAGCAATATAGGCCACGGATTCTAAATCGTTCAATGACAACTTAAAAATCTGAGGCTAAAAATAATTAAGAGAATAAAAACATACATTTCCTCCAAGAAAAAAAAGAAAAAAACGAGCTGCACAGAGGCAAAGCTGAGCTTCGAACCATTCTGATACTACGCAAACGAAGCATTGCAAGCTACCAAATAACAAAGTGAAAAACACCACAATATTTTGTCTGTAATGATTTTCTATTAGAGGAAAACACGACTTACATGGGCCAAAATAATACCTCGAGCTTAATTTGTTATTAAAGCAAGCTGAGCAAATGATAAAGCTGAGTTTTTAGCTCGAAGGTCTATATTCCGATGTTAAAACGCTTGCTAATCGCAGGCATAATCATAATATGGAAATTGAATGCGCGAATTCTCAAAACAGTACATGCAAAACTCATACGCGCTAAATAAAGCTAAATCAGGAAACTATACAACAATCGAAAGACTAGAATTATAAAAAACGAACAACACTAAAAGTAAAAGTTTTTCGTAATCAATTACTGTTTAAAATGATTTGATTGCTGATTTGAAATTGAAATTGAAAATATATCATTTTCAAAATTTCAAATACTAAATTGTTTATAAATTAAATGTGTAAAAATTGACCGAAGTATAATAAAGCCAGAAAACTGGTTTAGATTGACCTTCCGAAAAAGATCGAGCAAATATGTTTAGAAACCAAAATGAATGGTGTAAAATTTTTCGAATTTTTTTTATTTTTGAATATCTCTCAACACATAAAAATCACCAAGACCTATATGAGAGTCTTCACTACATTCATCGACTCTCAAAAAGATTTGCCCATTGTAATAGGTCAAAGATTGTTTAAAACAGATTAATTTTAGTACAATTGTATAGCAAGCACGCTCACAGTTTTAAAAAAAAATCAAAATGCGCACAAACTAGCAAGCCCGTTTCCAATAATCAATCAGCTCGCAAAAAGCTGAGCAAGCTTTTCAAGCAATGGATTTTTGAATAAATTTAAGTTATTCCATATCGTCAATCGTTTTGCAAGGGTTAAGGTATTTCGAGGCAAGCTAATCATTCCAGCAAAGAATCTTTGAAATAGTTCAAATGTATTACAGCTTACAAAGGTTCGCAAAACTTAACTTGTCAAGACGATCAAGTGATAAAACTTTGAAATGTTAAAAGCTATTGCATACCGTGAATCGCATCAAAAAAAGTAAACATCTTTAAGATATTCAAACAATGTAAATTTTGAAAACTTCAGGCTTTTTCATTACTAAAACGGATAAGTAAAAAACCATTTTTATGAGCCTGCCATGAAAGCAGTGCAATTCTGATTTTTCGTTATACTTTAACTTGAACCGTATCGCAAAACTTTGAAAAATTTCAGGTCGTTTTCATAGCTCGAATCGATTAGGAAAACTCAACTTTTGAGACAAGCTATGAAACAACAACATTTTGATGACAGTAGGTTTTTTTATTGCTTGAACTATCACGAGACAAAAACATATGTTTTTTCCAAGCAAACTGTTGAAAAAGAAAATCTGTGATACGATTCGCAGGTAACTTAAAACTTTCAGCCCAAGCAATTGAGCATTCAGCTTTCAAAATTCGACATAATTAAAAACGTGAATCGTGAAGCGAAAAACTTTAGTTATCAGCAAGTTTTTGAGGATAAACACATGGAAAAAACTCCAGTTCGCATCCAGAGAAACAAAGAAAGAGCAAACATTTCTGGTCAATAACAATCCTAAATTGAGCAGGCCATCCTTAGCTTTCATTAGAAAAGAGACGAAGAGGACAGGCAACGTGGCCATATGAACCCCAAACGCCTGCCATAGGTATTCGTATATGTTTCTTACTATCAGGAAAAGCAAAACAAAACTATATTTTCTTTCTGAATCATTTAGCAACTTTTTTCAAAATATTTGGAGTTGTTAGAAAGATTCGATGAAACGCCCATATTTAGTGTAATACGAGCTTCTGAACGGTGAAGTTTTGGCGTTGAATTCTACACCCTTACTAAGCCCCCGCTGACATCCAACAACGGCTCTAATATTTGATTTTAAGATGATCTTTGATTTCAAGATTTTAGAAATATTGAAAATTTGGTTTAAAAAGTCCTTATCTTCTAAACTACGAACTTCTGAAAAGTGAATTTCAAACCCAAACTTAATTTCAACCCCCAACTTAACCCCTTTAGCATCCAGCAGCGGGTTCAGAAATTTGAATTTGAAAATCTTGGAAATGTCTTTATTTTTAGAATTTTTAAAAGATTCGTTAAAAGGTCGAAATCTTCTAAATACTAGGTTTGCGGAACTCGAAATTTTGGCTTTAGAATTGCAACTTTGGACTACAATCCCAGTAGCGTGCAAGTACGAGTACCAAAAAAATGTATTTTAAATCAATTTGAAAGATTCGTAAATTCGTGCATATCTTCTAAACTACGAGCCTCTAGAAAGTGAAACTTGGGCATAAGAATCGCAACGCTAAGCTACACACCTAATGATATGCAACCTGGGATTCACATTTTAATGAACGCACTATTCCTCAAAACTTTCTGTATGGACATTTGGCCTTGAACTAACTATCTCAAATTAACATATCTCTAGACTCCGGATTGAAAAAAACTTCTTGAACTTTCATGCCTTGCCGTGCCCGTTTTGCCCTGCACTGCTGAACCATGCCTTAAGCTGTCCCGCTCTCCTCAGCGCTTCCCTGTTCATCCTTGCTTTGGGCTGCCTTGCCTTTCGCAGCCCTTCCTCGCCTTGCTCTGCCCTGCCTTGCGCTGCCCTGCCTATTCTTGTCGTTCGCTGCCTGTATTCAACTTGCACTGCTTTGCCTTGCCTTAACTGCACCTCCTTGCTGCGCTGCCATGCTTTTTTTGACCCTGCCCTCCCTTGCTCTGCGCCGCCTTGCCTCTTTTTGCTTTCAAATGCCCTGCTTGGCTTTGCGATGCCTTAACTTGCGCTGCTTTGATTTGCTCGGCCCTACTTTGCTCTGCCCTGATTTGTGCTGTCCTACCCCTCGCCTTGCACTGCCCTGTCTCTTCTTGCCTTGCGCTGCCTGCCTTGATTTACGCTTCCCCTACTTACCTTGAGCAGCCCTACTCCTACTTGCCGTATGCTACCCCTTCTTGCCTTGCGCTAATTTGACATGCCTTCCGCTGTCCTGCATTGCCCCTCCTTTCTTTGCCTCGCCTTTAGCTGCTCTGATTTTCATTGCCCTAAGCTGCCCTCCGCTTAAACCTTCAAGACAATCTAATCTGTCCACCCATTTGACCTTGTCCTTAAGTTGAAAATTATGCAGACTTTGGATTGAAAATTCATGCCTTTTGCTTAAACATTGTCCCCAAAAAATAAATTGTTTCAGAAAAAGTTGAAAACATAGCCAAAAGACAGTTGAAACAGAGTCAAGGAACGCAAGTAATTAGAAAAAATAACTAATTTTTTACATGAAAATATCCGAAAACTTTTGAATTATAAAAAACTATATATGCCCTCAAAGCTTTTTGAATTTCTAGGAACTCACACACTAACCGCGTAAGCTGAATAGGTTCCAAACACTAGCCACAAAAAAAAACAGAGAACAGATGCTATGCAATTTCCAATGCTACAGTGAAATTTCCAAACAAATGAAACCTTTTATGGAACACTTTTATTTGCGAGTGAGGTTAGAAAAAAAGAAGGTTCGTAATGATACACTAAAATGATGGCAAGTGTAATCATGTTTTTGTGACCTTTACACTGTTGCTGTTCGATAGTGGAGTTTGCCTACCTTACTGCGACCTAGAAGAAATGAGTCTCACTCACTGAACACTCAGCCACGGGCGCTTAATTAATCACGAACACAGAAAGCAGAGAACAGATACTATGAAATTTCCACTGCTATAGATCGTGATTATAGCAAAAGTGCCAGCAAACAAGTGAGCACTGTTAATGAACACTTTTATTTGTGAGTTAGCTTAGAAAAAAAGAAGCTTCGCACAGTCCATTACGCTGATCACTAGTGTATTCAGGACTGGCACACTTGCCATAAGAAAATAGGCAACTGGAAAATATTATCGGGACTGGTAAACTTGCAAAATCTGAAAATAAAGCCAAAGGAAAAAATGTACTAATCGGTTGTTATTCACTAGCTAACCGCAAGGGTATCAAACTTGTTAACCAAAAAGCGATTTTGCTAAAAATAATTGATTAAAAATTGGCATATCAACTAAATTGCCGGCAATAAATTAATATCAAAAAAGGATAAAACACAGCCGGTTTTGCTCCATTTGGAAAACCTATACATAACATCCGGAGATTAAAATTAGTGTCTCGACTCACCAACTGTCAGTTTGATTTTTTCAACTTGAAATGGACAAGCTAGCAGCCAATGCAGATCGAAGTGTCTCTCCACCTTCCAGTCAGAAATCAGTCTTCTGTTGCTACAGAACACAACTGAGTACCTCGTCTTCATCTTATGGCGACTTCTTGGTGTTACTGCAGTTGGAGTTAACAATTTCGGCCACGCGGCCACTTCGGCTACCCAGATTGGTAACTTAGGAGTCTTCATGTTGCTCTCAACCTGAAGTAAAAGGCAAAAAACTGACGCTTAAATTTCAAACTAAAAAACAAAACAGCCAATTGACAGTTGGAAAAGAGAAATGAACGCAACCAAACAGGAAAAACTGACTTATTTTTTGAAAACATCACAGCCTTCGAATTTCGAAGAAAAAAAGATGGCCTTGAACCTCTTTGAATTTCTAGAACAATTTATTATTGACAATTTTTTCATAATATTAACCCAATTTTGGAAAACTGGATCAATACATACGATTTTATTTCGCTCGGAAATCTGATATTTACATTCCACTTTCGAAACTAGAAGTCAATCACGTTTTTCGTGACTATACACTTCTGCTATTCGATAGTAGAGTTTGCCTTCTTTTTAACAGAGGAAATGAACTAAACTTTAAAAGAAAACGTAGCCAACAGAAAGTTGGAACATAGTCAATGAACGCAAGTAAAAAGTAAAAAAGACTGCCTTGCCTTTCAAAAAAAAACTTATACCTAGCCAAAAAAAAATTGGAAAACTTTCGAATTTCGAAGAAAAAAATAGACAACCTTGCGCTCTTTGATTTTCTAAAACAAATGATGACTGACACTTTTTAGATAAAACAAACTCATATTGAGGAAAATGGACGAATAAGTAATTTTTTTTTCGCTGGGAAATCTCAAAAAGAAACTCCAATTTCGATACTAGAAGTCGATCACAATTTTCTTGACTATTACACTTTTGCAGTTCGATAAGGAAGTTTGCCTTTTTTAACAATGCAAATGCACTGAACTTCACTGATCGAACCGCGAAACGTCAAAACTAATAGTGAACAAATTTTTCCCGATACAAAATTTATACTAGAAATAGAGCATATTTTAAGAAATTAGTAAATCAAAGTCAAACGGCGAAATAGCAAAGTTGAGGCTCAGCAAATTTTAAATCTTTTCCTGGAAACAAAAACGAAAAAATATATCACGACCTATATAAGCATCTGTACTATGATCGCAAATAAAATTTGTTTAAGAAACCCAAAAAATCAGGAACATTTCTTGCAAGGCAAGTACTTGTACCATTGAAAGTGTGTTGCATGATTGTGAACTCCGTACTGTGACAACTAAGCCGAAAAAAACCAAGCAGACAAACAATAGTCAGACAAATGATATTTGTTACGCAGAAAGTTTTTCTTTTGCAAAAAAGATCCTTTATCGGCCAACACATGTACATTACCTCTACGCTACACGGTCTTATTTGACATAAGCTGAGCAAATGATTTAGTAATTTTTTTAAACTAGTTGTTGCCCTAAAAAGTTTATATTAACTTGATAACGCTTGTTCATCGCAAGCAAAATTCACCCTGTACTCTGACTTCTTTCTAATCCATTTCGATGGTTCAATTATCCTGACTATCTTTTTAAAACATAGTCAACAGACAAATGGAAAATTCTCTTTCGAACTTTGAAGAAAAAAAACAAATCACGCTGAAGCAAAATTCACCCTGTACTCTGACTTCTTTCTAATCCATTTCGATGATTCAATTATCCTGACTATCTTTTTAAAACATAGTCAACAGACAAATGGAAAATTTTCTTTCGAACTTTGAAGAAAAAAAAACAAATCACGCTGAAGCTTTTTAAAACATAGTGAAGTCTATGTAAAATAAACTTCACACACTGTTTTTGATTCGGAATTGTTTCGTTCTGTTATCCCATTTGAAGAGAACTGGACCAGTAGGTAATTTTTTATATCCGGGCTGGTAATTCAGAAAATTGAAGCCCATTTTTGAAACAAAAATGTGTTTTTTACCTTTTCACTTTTGCTGTTCGACAGTGGACTTTGCCTTTATTAAACAAAGGAAAACGAATTGAAACAAAAATCATACTAGTGAACTTACGAGAAACAAAATCATTAAGAACTTTATAAGTGAAAATCACTTTGTTCTTTTTTACTTTACAAGTTTAGAAAGCAAACTTCACTTAAGCAAACTTCACTTGTTAGTGCGCACTATTAAAATCTCAAACATAGCCAGTAAAAAAAGGAAAAGAGTCAATGAGCCCAATCAAACAGAAAAAGATACTTTTTTTGAAAAAATTGAAACTTTCGGACTTCAAAGAAAAAAATAGACGACCTTGAGCTCACTGAATTTCTAAAATAAATAATGATTGATAATTTTTTGATAAAACAAACTCATATTTGGAAAACTGGATCACATAAAAATTATATTTTATTTCGCTGGAAAATAAAAAAATCCATTTTCAAAAGCTGAATTTTATCACATTTTTCATCACCTCTACACTATGCTGCTCGATAGTGAGTTTGCCTTTTTTTAGCAAGAAAATGAGCTGAACTTAAAAATAAATCAAAATTCAAGCCGCAAAAAGTAAATTTGATATTTGATCCTGAACAAATTTCAAGACTTTCATTAAAAAATAAATCAAAAGAAAAAGTGCAGACCTCTCTAAAAGTCTGCACTACGTTCATCGACTCTTAAAAATTTTGAAAAAAAAACTTACTTTAAAAATTCTTTCAATCTTATTTCTAGCTCACTCACCAAGACCTTTTTCTTAGTATGTCTGCATGTGAGGATGCCACAGTTGACTCTACTTGCCACGCCCCTTCTGGTATCGGGTTCATTTCTCAATTCAACGCAGTCATTCAGCCAACAAGGAGACGCAACCCCAGTTAGTAAAAGCGACATCAAAGCGGGGGAACAGCGACCATCGTTTAACAGAGGATCACCCATGTTTAACATGTCTTGCCGAACACTGAAATTTCATGGGAAACTGAAATTACCACAATAAATAAACGACCCATTTTTAGAAATGAACCACAAAGGTGAACAAAAGGATCATCAAGATGTGCCTTGAATGAAATAGGCTGCAATCAAGAGGAAAAGACTTGAGGCAAGCCGCTGTATAATTTTGGCACTTCCTTATATCGTTATACTTAAAATCACCTTTTTAGGTGATTTTTACCTTTCAGAGCAATAGATGTCGGAGAGACACTAAATTATCCTATTAACGCAAGGTAACGGAGGACTCCCTCATAGCAAAAGGACCAAACGACAAAATCATGCCAGCCAATAATATATCTCCAGTAATTAAATTGAATTCGCATTAAAATCTGATGATAACACTGGACAGCTTAAAGACGGTGATTGGTTGGTATGTTTCTGTCATTCAACCCTTCTCACATGAGAAAACGGCCCTCTAACCCCAATAAAAACTTTGATATTTACTTGTATGGTGACCTGGAGAGAAGCACAGAGTAGAGAAGTAGCACCAGAAAGTATTTACATCCACTCAGCTAAACATGCAGCAGCAGAAATTTAGACAAAGACGAACAAAGAAAGATTGAAAGATTGACTGAATAAAACCTGTGGTAGGAACAGATCCAGAAACTCGACCAGGCTCTCGAAACTTCCAAACATGAACTTTTCAATCTGAAACAAAAAGGCAACTTTTTATAAGAATCATAAGCAAACAAGGAGAGCCGGTTGCTGTGAAAAAAGCACAGAATGTTCCGACAAAAAAATTCAGTTTTTTCGACACTGAGAGAAAATTGTTGTTATTTTAGAATCAGAGCCACAACTAATAGGGCTTGATTATGATAACAGACCTGATACCTACGTTCTTTCCTTGAGGTAGTCAAAAATGACAGAAAATTAAAAAGGAAATTTATATTTGAGCTACCATCAAAGAGAGCGAGTTAGTTACCTGGGTTGGTGCTCTAGCCTTGTATCTAAATACCAAAAAAATTTCCACAGCAACTTAATAATGCACGCAATAGCTTTTGTTCCATTTAGGGAAAATGACTAGTTAAAAAGTCGAAATGTGTCTGAAAAAACCAACCCGAGCACAATTATTCCGTTACTTTCGAAAGTCGGATCAGCAATACTGCTCGTATCAGAGCAAACCCTGAACGTTCGGACTGCCTTTTAAGGTCTATGGAGCAGTAATAACATAAAAAAAAAACCATTGTTAATTAAAATAAAACAACTTTTTTTTTTAATTTGAGATTTTGTGAAAATCATCGCCCCACACGCCATATAAAGTACGAAGTGATAAATTTCACTCCTAGTAACAAATCAATTAAGGCAAATAAGCTTCCTTCAACCAATTTGGAACGATTGCTAGGACGGATTAAATCTACGCTTACGCGTTAATAGCGCGAAATAAATCGCGCAATAATTTTTCCAAATTTACCAAAATGGCAATTTTTAAACCCCCATAACTTTACGAAAAATGATCACAGACGTAATTAACTCAAGAATTCAAATTTAAGCTGAGGACAACAATACCTTATAAATGATATTTAAAAAAGCTCGTCAAAATGGCTAGTTAAAAAGTCGAAATTTGTCTGAAGAAAAAAACCACCCCGAGCACAATTATTCCGTTGCTTTCGTTAAGAAATTCGAAACAATAATAGTCGGTGTTAATATCCTTAGCATTGGCTGTATTTAATAGCTGTTTATTGATCAAAATGAACACTTTCAAAATGGACACATTCTATCGCAACAATAGTTGCGACTTGGGTTGGAAAAAAAAGATAGTTCATACTATAACACAAGCAGTGCTTGTGTAAACAAAGGAAATGAAATGAAAGAACAAAAAAATCAAAAGTCAAGCCCCGAAAAATCAAGTTTTTCCGTGAAGAAAGACTTTTTCCTGAGAAAACAAAACAAAAAAACCACCATGACCTAAATAAGAATTTTAACTACGCTCATGACTAAAAATCCAGCCTTTTTGATAAATCAACTAAAGAGTAACGCAATAACTTTCGGGTAACGCAGGCATATAACTTTAATTATGCAGCGTTAAGACTGCATATTCGCCAATTTTAACGAAAACGCCCCTTTTTTAGTAGACCAGAAATACACAACCATTTGAACAATTCACCCACCCGCTCTGTTATTCCGTCATGAGGCATGGTCATCGTAGATTTATACTGCACTGAAGGGGCGGCACTACAAAATATTAGGGGGGCGCCAGTGCCACTTTGAGAGTTGGAGGGTTGAGCACATTGTGCGATCATAGAAGCCACTGCTCGAGACAAATTCTTCATCTTCTGCTGCTGTGTTGGACGCCAGAGTTCATTCGTATCCTAAATTATACACAAATGAGATAACGAGAGATCAAGCAGTTATAACATCGTGTTGAGCAGTTAAAAAACTGATTCTGTTGCTGTTCCAACTTCAACTCTCGAAGAATCTTACTAAAAATTTGGGCTCGGCGTGGTACTTATTCTTCATACTGATGATATCAACATCTTGTCCAAAACTAAAAATAGTCAACAGACAGTTGGAAAAGTTTCAAAGAACTCAAAGATATCGAAAAGTTTACTTTTTCAACAGTTTTCAATTTAAAAAATCACAAAACTCTTTGAACTTCCAGATTGACACTTCAAGGATTCACACTTCCCTCAAAAAATAGCCAAATTGGAGAAAAAAGAGACTATTGGTAATTTAGTAAGGAAAAAGTTTTAAGTGGGTAGCGAAAATTTTTGAGAACCTGGAACTATCCCTAGGATATAACATTTTTCTTACAGAAAAGAAGGCACCACTTCTGCAGGAAAAATTCTCGCAATCAGTCTATTCGATTAAACTCTTCATCTCAGATTTGCTACAGTAGTTTTAAAGACAAGTCAAAAAGTTTCTTAATTTGGGAGGGTAGTTGTTGGGAGGGTAGTTGTCGAGAAAATCAATGAAAGCTCAAAAAATCATAACTGTAACTTTTCCGAGAGCGATGAATTTTCAAGCAAAAAATTTTGGGCGTAGCCACTAATGCAGAGGAACTTTTACCTACCGCTTTCTATATATTGAACCCAAAAACTTGCTTTTGGGTGGGTATTACACAGTGGGGTAAAGTAAAATGAGACTAAAGGATTATGCAGGCACACACGGGAATGGTCGGTCTTTCCATTCATACCCCTTTTTCAAAATCAATAGTGATTCTGAGAAAAGCTAGTTTTTAGCAAAAAGTGAAACAGAATTTCCAAACCGTCAATTAAAAAGAAAATAAAATAAAAGCCCAATACCATACTTTTCACACAGTGGCAAAGTTGCATTTCGCATACACCAGCAAAAAAAAATGACCGATAACGCTACTGGGAAAACTGAATGAGTAAAATTTTGAGCCCACAAAATTTCTTAAGTGACGCACGCCAATTATGAGTCTACAAATTTGCTAAGCGAAGCAAGCCAATTATGACGCATTAGCAGTACCAGTCAATTTGAAAAAAAATTTTTTACTAACTAACATGTCTCAACTTATAGAGCGGACACATTTTAACTAGAATACGAAAAAGTTCATAAAAAAACATCCGAACCTGCCTACAGAACCAAGATTGCGACTTAGATTGGAAAAAAGAGAGTTCATACTATCACACAAGCTTTGCTTGAGTGATAATGCCTGTTATTATTAAACTGGAACTGTAGGCAACAATGACAAGCAAGGCATTTGAATTTAAACCTAATAACGAAACAAAACTTACGAAGCGGAAACAAAGCCGGCAATCTTTTGAGCAGACACCAATTGAGCCGAAAAAAAAACAATTTTTGTTTTCAAACTTTTAAACGTTTTAGTCCCAACTGAAGCTACAATGAATAACACTTACAAATACCATGATACGTGCTTACGGCACACAAAAAAGCCCACAAAACTTGGGCAGACAGCCGAAAGTACGTTAACTTAATTTTTACCGGAAAATCCAATTTCATACACTGTAAGAACAAGGCCCTACCGGGACTCGAACCCTCGACCTTAGGGCTCAAAAGCAACCGCATTACATCCCGGCCAAGTGTGAGGGAACATGGAAGTTACGTTCGACCACTGAGGCTAAATAATCTGTTTTCAGCATACAACACTACAATTATACAGCACTACTCACTTTATTCCACTGAGTGAAGAAGAAATGGTGATGAATGTAGTATGCTTGAAGAGCGGCTACTATTCCCGAAGGAGTGAAGTGACATAGGTCAACTGAGAATGCACCACTCATCCTGATCGGATGGTTCAGCCACGATCTCATCCAGGCACCTGCCACGTCACCAAACAGTAGCTTTTTGATGCTCTAAAACAATTGCCAATGTTGATAGAAAAGCGAGTCAAGTAAAACTTGCCGTGCCGACAATGCCAGATCACGGGTTGGACGCTCTGGAAACAATTTAGCGTACTCGTTTAGGTTAGAAGTCTAGTATTATCTACACTAGTCAAGACTAATTAACATATTAATTATTTCCTCGAGTCTTTGCCTCCTCGAACATTGATAAAAAACAACAAAAATGAATTCTTGTTTTCTCTTAAAAAACCATTTGCATCAGCTATAAGCTTCTTGACTTTCGATAAAATTCAATGATTGAAAACTTATTTGAAGTGACACTAACACAACAAAAAATGGAATCGATGAAAAAAATTATTCGATAAGTTTTCTTAAAACCTAATACCTACTATTAAAGCTAGATCTTAACCTCCATTTTCTCGCATTTTCCACTTTGGTTTTCGATAATTCAAAACTTACACACGTTTTTTGTTCCAAAAAACAACCTACTAGGATAAAATCACAGATAATTCGCCATCCAAATTGCTTCTCCAACTTACGATTGCTTCTTGAACTGTGATCGGGCTAGATTCGAACTTGTTCCCTTCGTCTAAACTCAGTCCTGAAATGAAGACATCTTCTGTCTGAACAATTACGTCTTCGTCGTACTTCTGGTGGAAGCCAATAGATGATACATTTACTACTGGTTTTGAAAACTCTGGCTCCGTCTTCTCTGGTATTTCACTCTCTACTTGCGGTGATTCAGCCGTTGACTCTGGTTTAGTAGCTTCTGATTCAATTTCGGACGAAGTTTCGAGACTGCTAATTGTTTTGTCATTATCTTCTCTTGTTTCCTGAACGCACAAAAGTCTCAATTTAGCATCAAAACTTGAAAGTATTTTTTGTTTCCAGGTGAAAACGAACTTGGGATTTGTCGGCTGATGTTTGCCCTTCTCCAGATTGTACCTTCTCGGGTAGTTCGTTCCCTAAATTTTTTTCAAAGAAATATAACTGTCTCCTTTCCAGATTTATTACTTTGAAAACATGAATGCAAATACTGCTAATTTCTCCAAAGACCTTTTTTGTTTTAAACTTATTTTCACTTCATAAAAGCAGCCAAAAAGGTAACTCCGCACCGAACATGAGCAAAATCGCAAACTTTTTGATTGTGCTGTTCTGTTCTGTTCTGTTCTGTTCTGATAAAAAGCAGTATCTCCTCTCCAAAACTTCAATTATAATTACAGTCGAAGAACACATTAAAACCGTTAACTAACCTGGCTCGAATCTTTTATTTTCTTCGAATTGTTGAGTTCTTGCCATCTGTTTCTTGTCTTCAGAATCGATGACATTTTTTTCAGGTTGTTGGTCTTTCATGAATATCTCAACAACAAACTCATTTTTATCTTTATCTCTGTTTTTCCGCTTAGCTGTGATACATCTTTGCAAAGGTGTCATTGTTTCAGTTTTAACATTTGAAGGATCATGATTTTCCTGATTCCGTTTATCCATTTCATTTTGAATTGCCAGTTGATCCCTTTTAACTTCAAAATTAGTTGGACTACCCGAGTTTCTTTGAGCCTCCGATTCCTCCTGGCTATGGTTTGGTTTTCCATTGTCGGTAGATCCCCCTTTGGATCTTTCAATGATTTCAGTATTATCTTCTACTCGTCGCTTTGATTGAAGCAGCACGTATCTCGCTTTTTTGAACCTTTCAGCGTCTCCGCCATCGACATTTGAGTTCTGAGCGCTAGCTTTTGCCGAGCTTAGAGGTGTAACGACTGTTTTGAATTTGCGCGCAGGCCTTTGAGCGATTTCTTCTCTCTAAACAATTACAAACAGCTTATTTTAAAAGATGCCATTTTTGAAATGCGCATTTCGGGAACTTTAAGACAATTCGGTTTCAAGGTTGGCCGGCCAAAAATTGATGTAGTGTGCTATTACGAAAAAGTAAGCTGGTGAAAAAAAAACGACCAGAGACAGGCCCTTTGTATGGCCAAAAATCAAATTCGGGGTCAGAGGTCAGGTAAAATATAACTTTTGTTATTGAACGGAATGACTTTTATGAATTTGGACCTTCAAGATTATTTCATTTTTGGTTTTTTTGTTCCTCAATCAATAGTTAAATTGGAAGGCTAGACATTGTGCATATCAGCTGATTTGACTATCTACCCTTTCCAAGAAAGCGTGGTGTTTCCTGAGGCTGTATTCGTGATGAACTTGTGATACATGTTTTTTAAATGTATGCTACAATTTTTAACTACTATTCTACTTATGTATCCACGGGTCCAGCGTTGCCGCCTATAAACAGTGGAACTGAAGTGCGACTACAGTCAACGCAAATGGCACCATTACAAAATTCTTGGATGAGTTTATTCTCATTCTTCTTGATTAACTAAATATTGAAGCCAAGAATTTCAATCAAATCATCAATTTGAAAAACAATTTACCTGCGCGTCCCTCGTTTTCCTCGCGAATGAGTTATAAGCCCTTCGATCAACCTTAGTTGTTTCAGTTGGTCTTCCGATCTGTTTGAAACTGTCCGAAATGGATGCAAGATTGTTCCGACCTGTTTTATGCCCCCCTTTCGTTGATATTGAGTAATCTATGTCATCTGCATCTTCCAGAATCAGACCTAAGAAAAATTATCCACTGAACAAGATTTCTGGATCCATGCAGAGAAAGATCGACTCAGCCAAGTTTGCGATAGGTCAACACAACGGAAAGAAATAGTTCGCACATTTAACTATCACATATTCGTATTCGCCCACATCCCCCTTTTCAGGCTTGTTAAAAATTTATTATTTGAAATTTCGAGATTTGATAGGGACAAGCAACTTTCGGTAAGTCACTCATAGTATTGCAGTTTTTCTCGTTTCCAGATGGTAGAAAAATCCGCGGTCGGTCTGAAGAAAAAACCAGAAGAACATAAATATTTCCTTACTTTTTTCGAAAAACGGAACGATTACAATAGCATTTTTTATTATACTCAGCAAGGATTGTATGTTAGCACCGATTTATACGCATATATTCTAACACGACTGCTCGTATCAGGGCAAAGCCCTGAATATTCCGACTGCCCATTGACTGAGCACGAATAACTTTTGGTTAATGAAAAATTGCCTAACTATGAAATTTAGGCTGATGATAACAAATTTCAAGTACTAAAATTTAAGTCATGTGTAGAATAATTAAGACCAATAAGCTTTTCCGGAGTGCAATCTGTGATAACAAAAACCGCTTATTCACACTCGACTCATTCTGACTGGTCGAAAAATAGACAAAACGGATCCCAATCCAGTTTTAGCATCAAAGTATAAAACTGGCAGATAGTTAGACTCGTTTCACCGTGATCGTAATTCGGGTTCGTATAGTTGTGAGCGCGAACCTACTGTGAAAACGAAGATCCAGGGATCGATCCCCGAGAAAAAAGCTCTCGAAAATTGGTCTGAACAAAAAACCACCCAGAGCCTATATCCCAACATTCTTAGAAAGTCGGGACAAAAAACTGAACACAATACACAATAACGTGTGACTCAGTTTGGAACAAACTGATCACGTAGTCTACAAAAAGTTTGCTTGTGAGTGCTAGTTTACTTGTTTGGTACCTCGAAATCGTGCGGTCCTTAATATAAAGTTTGAAAACCTCAGTTGTTCCTTCATACCGGTCAAACGCATTTGGGAGAGTAGCTAATAGGTAGGCAACCCTTTTGTAGGTATATTACCAAGAACAAAGTGAGCAACCGTATACAGGTGGTATATCTACTTGCCTCATCGAGCGTTTAAACAAACTGCATGTGTAATTATTCGAAATACTTTTAATGTATCATATTGAGAGCTTATGTACAATCTACTTGGGCTGCTGGTAAACACATCTTGAAAAAATTGTAGATAAGAAAATCGTTCTTAGTGTAATTATGAAGTGGCTTAAAGTTCACAGAAAAGAAAATTGAAAAGGACGAGCCGAGAAAAGAGTGGGATAAACAAGAATTTATTCCTACCAGCAAGATACAATACTATCAATATCAACAGGATAATAGCAACATTATCATTAATATCAAGCATGATTGAGAGCTCAAAAATGATCAATTCTTATCAGATTTTCGATCCAACTAGCCATGGGTGAAGGTCGAAGACTATCAGTAAAACAAACTCGACAAAAGACACATAGTGCCGAAGAGTAAGTATCGCTAAACCAATAATGACACTGAAAGCAATGCTATATTCTGCTGAGAACTGAAAATGAAAAACTGCTGGAGAACAGCATGCGGTTACCTAAAAAAAATCGAGGAGCACAAGTGCTTAAGCAGCAAATCTATTCTTTAAAATATTTGATTTAGCTTAGGCAACAAACTCAGAGGCGGATCTAGGATTTTCTCGAGGGGGAGGGGGCAGAATTTCAAAAAAACGTCCGAACGGCGCACAGACAATTCGGCCAAAGACAATTCAGCCAAAGACAATTCAGATTAAGACAACTCAGCCAAAGACAATTCAGCCGATTTGAAATTCAGACAATTCAGCCAAAAATATACAGACAATTCAGCCTGAGGCAATTGGAGCCATATATGGCTCTAAATTTTGAATAGAGTCCTACCATCTGTAGGCAAGCTCGCAACACGTTGGCGCGACTGCCGCGGTCACTATTATTGGCTGAATTGTCTGCATACTTTTGGCTGAATTGTCTGAATTTCAAATCGGCTGAATTGTCTTTGGTCGAACTGTCTGGACGCAGATATGGAATGTTCGCGAATCTACTAAGCAAATAATACTGATTAAGTTTACTTGCAACCAAATTTCGCTTTTTATAATTGAAGCACTTTTGTTTTTTTTTTTCGTCAAACTTTCAATAAAGTGCCCAGCAACTTTTTGACTCAGTTGCCGTCGACGTAAGATTTTTTGCCTTTCTTGTTTTTTTGCTAATGTTTTTGGTCGACCTAAGAAAATGGTCGACAAAACTTTCAATTTTTTTAAATATCCGCCCTCTCTTGAAAGTCGTAGATCTGCAACTACAACTGATACTACATTTTATCTCGAAAAACTTGTTTCATTGTATTTTTCGTTGATGACCAAATCGTACACAAGACCCCAGATTTTGGGCGTTTGGAAAATTTAGGCCCTTTACCGGTTTTGGAAATGGGTGGCAGCTCCACTGATGACTCTTTTGGCGAATTAGAATGCGACTTCACAGCTGTGTTGAAACTACTCTCACTTTTCCCATTTCTCCCCCATGAACTAACACCGCCACATCCAAACGTATTAAGCATCTCCTCCTCTTTTCTCGCCTCTCCATGAACAAAACTACCTCTTCCCCTTTTTGCCGAGTTGGAGTTCCTCGCAAATGTAGAACTGAACGTTACATTTCCACTTGATCGCCCGTATGAAGGCGGTTTTTGCGTCGAGTTCAAATGAGTTCCTTTGATCAATCAAATAAGAGGTCATTTTTAACCGCTTTGCGACTCTGAAGCTCATTTTGAGCCGTTTTGCGACTTTAAAAAACATTTAATTCTAACCGAAACCACAAATCGTCGAGATTTCATCGACAAAAAAAACCAACAAAAAAAAGACAAAAAGAACAATGCGCTAAAGCAAATCAATTTCTGCTAATACTGCACTGCAATGAAGAGGCAGGCCATGGCTTAGGTTCAAACATTCTAAAATGGCGTTGACTAATTGGTTGAACTAATCTTGTGAAATATAGTTGAATCGTTTCGGGCTAAATGATCTGGATCTTTTGATGAAAACGTCTCAAATTTCATATATGCTTAAATTTCCTCGCGCTATATCTAACACAGCCACGCATTTTTTTGCAGAGCCTATACTCATTTCAATCAATTGTTGTTCCCTAGTTTTGATTGATCCGCTTCCTTCATTCAAAGAACCAATACGAGATGATTGGCGGTTCTTCAAGGTACTTTTAGGTTCATGATCCACACCTTGGGAGAGAAGTCTGTCACGGCTGTTTCTGCTCATTCATCTGAAAAAGACCCTTATTGTCAAAAGGTAAATATCTTCCATTTTGAGCACACCAAAAAAGAGAAATTTCAACAAACGCGGAAACAATAGAACTACAGTGCTGATTTAAATCATCCGGACAAAACAAACATTGGAAACGTCAAACGCGTTTTCCTCTACCATTCCTAACTTTAATTATTCTAACAACAGTTACTTAAGTTTGGAAAAGTCTAGTGCTCTGTTGCAATACCCTTGCTAATCCATTAAGACATAATTGTTATGATAAACTTATGATAAATAGCTTCCTTGAAATGGATCCTAACTTTTGTGAGCCTAATTGTTGTGGTAAACTCATTAAACAGGTCCGCCCTTGAACAAAATTTTCAGAGACTTGAGCTAAGGACATAAATCAGTCAATTTATTCAATACAGAGCCCCGTCGTTCTCAGCTTTGACGGGTGAAGACCACTATCATATTTTCATTCAGTACGTCATTCTCAAGATTTGCTGAATACCACAGCCATCAATTTTCACATATCAGCCTCATTCTTCATTTCGTCTATTTCCTCAAAACGCTTCTTTTCCTTAAAGATTGGAAAGCAATGAACAAAAAAGTGGCTTACAAACTCTACGTCGACTTGCATCAAAAAGTCACACAAAAGGACGCTTTCAACCAAGAGGTGGCCAGGAAGCTGCTGTACAAGGTTGACGCTGTGTTCAAAGACGGTTTCGGACAGCAGTATTGTACATAAATTAACATTGGATGACACCATTCTCCTTGATTGTGCAATTCATGCGTATCGTGGTCTACCACAGAGCAAAAAAACTTAAGTATTGGAAAAACACGAAACAAGAAAAACTCTGCAAGATGATATAATAGTATTATGAAATACAATAGAACAGTTGACGAAACTTTAGGCGAATATGTGGCTCTGGTTAATAACTGTGAAGATCTTTTCAAATCCGATGTTTACGTTATACGCGTATTGATACAAATTCGCAAAAGCGCACAATATGAAACTTAAAAAAAACAAAAAGGTCAATGAGCTGAATGAACTCATCAACAAAGACGGGAAATTTGTCGTGTTGGAGCTATACACTTGTATCAACAACCTACAATCAACTTTAACAATCAATTTTAACCTGACAACATCAACAATCAACTTTAACATGACAACCTACATCTCAATTACAAAAGTGGGTTGCCTACACTGCAAAACGCTCTTCTGTCGGTCCTATCGAAAACCGCGAATGGCTTCACAGACAAATCTAAGATGTCATTGAAATCGAAGCAAAAAATCCACTCTACCAGCGCCCATTTGAAATACAAGGCCTATCACAATGCCAATTAAAAAGCTCACGCTTGGCATAATAACCACAATTCAAACTATAGTCATCAACCAAGCAACAGCAACTATCAAGGTTACTTCTGATGAGTTTCTTTACAGACTGTTACGTGAAAATTATAAAATATGCAGAATCCACATTTGTTTTCTGTTCTGTCATTTATCGAGCTAACAATGGCTTCAAATAATCTCACGCCATTGATCGCGATTTCTGTGATCACCGAACATATTAACTCTCAAAGCCAGAAGAACTTTAGAATAAGATTTAGCCTTAACTGAAAATTAATTTCCTTTTTGGAGGGCTGTCTTACCAATTAATTTTAACTTTTAACCTTTATCAGGTGACATAGAACGTTTTCCCGGCCAAGATACAAATTGGAAAATTTTTGAACCAGGCAATTTCCTGGATAAGGACCTTAAATTATTTCAATTAAATTGTAGAAGTATTGAAAACAAACACCATCCTTTCAAAAACCTTGACAATGAATGATATTGGGAAAAACTGCTTTTTTCCCGCTTTAATCGAAAACTGCCTAACTGATAAGGACATATCAAATCTACTTACTCCTGACGAAAACAGTTTTCAGATGATAATGATAAACTAAGATGGAAAAGCATCAAAGGTGGGGTCTTTTATTTTTAGTAGCGAAAGCTTTTATACTGAGTGAGATGATCTATTCTCAATGAACTCAAAATCTGAAATTTTATGGATCAAAAATTTTGCAAAATCGACTAGACTGGCGTCTGGATTTCGAAATAAAAAAAGTTATGGGCGACCTTAACCTTAATTATTTAATTAAATCAGAGAAACAGATTTTAGATACCATATTATGCCCTTACGAAGTTTATGTGCTCAATAAGTCAAATCCTACTTGCTACTGCGACAACATGAGTCTAATCGACTACATTAAAGGTGATAAAATTTTCCCTTACTACCTTCCCATGTCTTTAATTGCCCAATCAAATTGGCCAGTTTCCAACAATTGCAATTTTTCGTACACTGTTAAACGGAAAACTGACATCCAGGATAAATTTCACTTTTGATAAAAGCACATCTGTCAAAAAATACAGATGTGAACAAACAAAACTGGTCAAGTTTGATAAAAAAAACCTGCCCCAATTAGATGTATTCGCAATTTCGAAAAATCCTAGGCTCTATTATCAAATTGCAGGATACTATGCAACAAAATTTGATTCGCCATGAGAAACTTTTGTTTCCCTTGCATCTATATGGGTATCAAAACAAACTAAAAATCTGAATATGAAAAAAGATAATTACTTGAATTACGAGCTTCAACAAGTTTCAGGAAATGCAAAAGCTTCACATCAAAGCTAGGTAAATGAATTTGAAAAAATTTACAGGTATTTAATTGACTCAGCACCCTTCGAAAGGTTTAAGTGGAGCCTTATCAATGGAATCAGGAAAAAAAATGAACATCAACCAATAAAGAAGGCCTTAGGAATTGTTTGAATAAAATCGTGAACGAGCCCTAGAAGATGCAACTATGCGCAATTACAAGTTCGAGATGGTTGGCGAGATGGTTTTTCTTGGCTAGATGATTTTTCCACTTAGCTCTTGTAACAATCTCCACAACGGTAACATGACTAAAACTTTTTTTCCCGTTCTTTTTTTTTGTTCTGTTGCATCAAATGAATGTAAAAAACTTTTTCTTGCTTTGAGTTAAATGAACCCCCCTGTGTCCTTCTATTCCAGCTTGGGCACTCAAAGATGCCGCATATGAACTGTCACAGCCAATTAGTCTTTCAATCAGAGAAAGCATAAAAACAAATATTTTCCCACATCAGCTTAAGCTGGCGAATATTACCTCTTTAAATAACAAGGGACGAGCTGAAGATCCACTTAATTACAGAGCAACTTCAATTACTCTGGTGATGTAGGTAGCATTTGGAAAGGTCATAGAATTTTAAATTACGGGATATCTTAATCGTAATAATATTCTTACTCCAACTCAGTTCGGTTTCAGGAAAAAGTAATCAACCATGGTTGCTATAGTATAACTGACTGAAACAATTCGAGCAAAAGTTGATAACGATGAATTTGAAACAGCCGCACTAAATTCATTGAAATCTTTTGATTCAATAGATCAACAGCGTTTAATTAAAAAAAACTACAAATTATACGTTTCAAGAGGTCCTCACTTGATCTTATAAACAGCTACTTAACTAATTAATAGGTATCAAAAGGTTGTGATAATAAAAGCTGAATGCGATTTGAATAAAGAAAGTAGAGGCGTGCTGCAAGAAGCCTTTCTAGGCCTTCTTCTTTGTAACTTATACGCAAACAATATGAAAAACACCTCAGCTTGTCAGGTTATACATTACGCAGAAAACACAATTTTACTCTCGAGTGACAAATCTTGACTATGCATTTAAAAACTTCAACTAAAACAACTTACTAGATTATATTTGTTTCAAACCTGAAAACTAAATCAGACAAAACTCTTTTTATAGTTTTTAGTAACAAAAACAAAAATTCAAAAAACATGAGCTCTAGATTGATGGACAGCTAATAAAAGAAAGAAAACAATAACATATTTAGCTGTAGCTATTGATAATAATCTAACTTATCATGAACATGTCAAACAGTTACTCTTAAAAATGGCACAGGGTATTAAAGCCTTAACACAGTCAGAGACTGTATACCACACAAAATGAAAATCATTCTTATCAATGCCCTAGTCTTAAGTCATCTGCAATATTCAGCCGTGATTCTTGCCGTGAAAGACCAAAACCTTATCATAACAATTGATAACAACAAGTCGTAAAAGACTGCATTTATAATCGCTAATTTGATTCTTTTGCTGAAATGAAAGCGAATATTGGCAAATTACGAGTTAGGTTTCTTCTTGACTATAGAATATCATTATATTGTAAACAAAAAATTAAGTCGCAGCAAAAACCCGCCTTCAATCCTGAAAAGCCTCCAATTTTACCAAACAGATTTTTGTATCAGCTTCGGTCTGAGAAGCTCTTCTGCATCAAACACTCTCACAGTAAGATACTTGATAGAAGTGTTATTAGGAAGGGCATTCTGCTAAACAATTTCATTCAAATACGTTAACGATATGATATTGATTCCAAAAATAGTACAACAACCAAGATAAGATAGAAAAAAATTTTTTGATCAATTTGGAAAGAACCTAGGCAAA